GGCGAACATTAGGTAAAAAGGGAATAGAAGAATCAATGGAGCAAGTGTGATTGGAGAGAATTGCCATGGAAGACATTCAGAAACAGATGCATCTATCATAAGCTAATTGTTCTTTTTTTTTTGTAAACAATGGCTCATTGTTACTTTTTTCGAGGAAAAAAAACTCAACAATCATTTAAGAAATTTCGTTAACTAAATGTTTTGCAGAAAACTGAAACAAGGCTAGGGGATGCACCTCGGGGTTAGAAATTTGTCAAATTTTCATGGGCTCAAATCCTAACCCATGCCCGATATAGTTGAAATTCTTCCAAGTCAAGCAACTGGACTTCGAGCCCCAATTCCAAGACATCCTAAACTATTTTCAACCTAATAACAAGTATATATTAGAACAGCAATGCAATTCTGAATAACAAGATAAAAAAGAAAAGAAAAGAACCGTAATGCCTTAAGGCACATTTAAAAGAGAGAACTGCCATTTCCTTTATTGTTTCCACCAATCTCAAAATGCTTGCACCTCTACAGAAACTAGTAAAGACTACCAAACATTAGCTGAATGGTAGGAAAAAAACACAACAAAAAAGAAAAAGGTGATAAAACAATGTAAATTACAGACACTGACCTTGAGGCCTAGCATTGCAGCCTTAGGACGACCTTCTTGGTGGTTTTTGCTTGGTCACAGAAAAGAGCAAGTTTAGCCCGAAAAGTTTCCCTCACCATAACATGACATCAATGTTCAATATCCACCTCAATAAGATCATCCGTAATATCCAAAAATGCAATGGTAATAAATTCCTGTAAGATTTCTAAAACCAAATGCACATGCTTGCTTTACATRTGTAGGATTAAAAGATCATGATCAAGGATTATAACACTTGACACATCATATCAAGGGAGGCAGCCCTCCCTTAGCAAAGTAATTAAAATTTTTGGATTATTTGAAATCAATCTCCAATCCTCAACAATGAAAGTGACGTTTCAGAAACATATTTTTTGATACAATATCAAATACTACTTCCATTGCTTGATTATAAACTTATGTGTATATGGAGAAATCTAGGATACAAAGGCATAGGCATGATATTAAAAAAGCTTTGACCAATCAAAACCCCCTAATAAAATTTAATAAAAAAACATTTGATTCACTTCAATTTTTATGATATTAGTTAATTCGTTATAAATTATTTTAGTATTATTATAGTCAAACCCTAATAAATATATGATTCATAAGAAACAATATATAATATGTAAAGTAGAAGGGATTAAGAGTGGCATCCTCACAACTAGCCTATCGCACCATTTTTTATCAAACGGGCAATCACATTTCACTTATGTTATGGCGAGTTTGAGGTAGGATGGGCTTGGGAAATGAGAAGAAAAAATTAAATAGGATGGGATCAAAAGTGCTCAAGCAGAGTTGGAGATGAGAAAAACAAATTTTGCAAGTACACTATTTGTTACCATACATATTTGGATTGTTGTTTGAATATTGATTGTCATAAATGAGCCATTACCAACGAGTTCAGCTATGGTCAATACAAGCTTGTTCTCACACCATTCGAACAGCCTCTTGCAACCTTTCATTGGGAATATTTCCCATGAAATAAAGGCTGTTGCACTGACGGAAGCTGGACTCACTACCATTGCAACTGTTTTGGCAGAACGGTAGAATTTACAAGGTGCTAAATGAATTAAAAAAACTACATTTTTTTTCAGAATATTAATCAATTTTCTTGGGTTACTCAATTCTTTGTAGATAAAGTAGAGGGTCCATTTAGTTCATAGTCAGAACCGAAATTGATATCCATTGGAGCCGGAATTGGAATGCTCTGTTTGGTTTAAACAAGAATCAATATAAGAATTGGAATCGGGTAAAATGAAATTTTATTCCCAAGGAGGGATGAGGGATGCCCATTCCCTCGAATGGGAGAATGTCATTCCAGTAGGAATGGGAATGGGATTCCAATTCCTTTCAACCAAATAGTTGGAATTGGAATCACCCATTCCAATTCTGATTCCAGATAAGGGTGTAACTTTTGCGAATCAGAGTTGAGATTTTATTAAAAATTCAATGGGCCCAACCCAAAGCCCAAGCCCAAAACAATGTAAATAATCAACTCGGGCCAACCCGATTTGCAACCCTAATTCCAGTCGGACCAGACCCATATTCTTGCGAATCAAACAACCCTTGATTCTTATATTTTTTATTTATTTGAAAAGCTTGTATTTTCCCTTATTCTTTGTCAAACAATATTCTCACCGTTTTTTATAATATATAATAGATTATATGAATATTCTATGTAGATAATACTGGTCAATCTTCTTGTATCTCATTATTGAATTGAATTCAAATTGCATATTTGGTAACTTTATCGAATTGCATTCAAACGGGGTAACTAGAATATCATTGGTTTCGAATCGAATTTGGGTGTTTTTTTTTATCTTATAGAATCAATTCGGATATACCCTCACCCGAATTTGATTCGATCCGTTTGCAACCAAACTACCAACCTATCAATAACCAAGTGACATTAATGTTTGAACATGTGTTTCTCATTGTGTTAACTATCATAATTACTGTCCCTGCAGGCCTGCACCCCAAAAAAATAATTAAATAAAAAACAAGATTTTGTCATTGTTGATGCAATTAGAGGTGCTAGGCCCGATGATGGTCCAAGCCGTGCTGGGCCTGGGGTTCCAGGTCCACGGGCCGACACACACCGTGTTTCCCATGGCCCATGTGTCAACACAACATGGACCATGGGCCTGTGGTGGGCCGCACTCGGCCTATCCGATGAACTAGCCACCCTAATGGCTAGTTTTAGTTTTTTTGGGTTTTTTTTACATAAATGCCCCCAACAGCTACAAATAATTATATAGAGAGTATTTATGTATAAATATCCCCCACAACATTTTGGGGTTTTTTTACACAAACACAAATTGGACCAAGGGGTTGGTACTTTTAAATATTCTCAATAAAAAATGAGGCAAGAATTAGCAAAATACATTGTACATATTAAAGAACCATTTTTGTTAGATAAAGATACTAAACTTAAAAATGGTTATGTAATTCTGTAAATCCACAATTTAAAAAAGTTTCTAGGAATAATATTAAATCATATGCTTTAAAATTTTTTATTCATATAATCAAAATTTAATTTATACGTTATCAAATCTTAATTCTAATGTTTCAATTACTTCTAATATTTGGACTTCTAAATTAAACATAAGTTATATTTGTGTTATTGGTCATTTTATTATTGAAAATTGGTTTTTAAATAAAATAATTTTATGTTTCACTAGGCTTGAATGACCACATACTCGCCATCTATTGYTGCAAGTATTTTAAATATTTTACATGCTTGTGGAATTGATAATAAATTATTTTCTTTTAGTTTTGATAATGCTAGTAATAATGATTTATCAATAAATATTTTAAAATCTCAATTAAAATCATGTTTAAATGGTAAATTATTTCTTATCAGATGTGCATGTCACATATTAAATTTATGTACTTAGGATGTTTTAAATATTATTTATACTCATATTTCTAAAATTAGAAATTGTATTATATATATTAAAAGTTATGGAGCAAGAAAACAAGAATTTAAATATTTATGACAAAATCATGGTTTAAAATATAAACATTTTATATTAGATGTTATCCATCGATACGGTGCAATACGGCCCAATACGAAGGCATATCATACTAATACGCACGACTCATGGAATACATATCCTGTCGTAGCATATTCTGTATCCATGATCATGAATACGAATACGATATGCTTCGTACCGGTAGTACCGTATTGACACCTTAATCCTTGCACCTAATGTTTCACTTGAAGCAAATGATCAAAGTCAAGAACAATAGGAGAAAATGGTGATGTCAAGATTGTTTGTATACTCAATGGTTGTATAGCATTTTTTCCAAATTATTGTAAATTTTGTTTAATTTTATTTAATTTATTTGATATTTTTTAATAACATAATTTTTATTTTCAATTTCTAACTATATTATATTTTTTATATTTTATTTTCCAATTTTCATGTTTCATTCATCCAACCATTGTATGCTTTGTATTATTCAAATTTAAATGAAATAAAATTCTTATTTTTCTTCCAATTTGTTATTCACTTTGAGTCTATCTCTTTGACTTATTATTTGGTTAAGTATTTTTTTTCGTTTCTTTGTTAGATTTCTTATTTTTCAAATAATTGTCAAAGAAAGTTAAATATTTTAATTTTACTTAGTACAAAAATAAACAAATAAAAAATGTAAAAAAAAATTTAGCTTGGTTCGACCCATGCCCAAGGCCCGCCCCATATCCCAGCCCGGCACGACGTGCAGCCCGTAGAATGGCACAACACAGCATGGGCCTGCATTGGCTTGGACTGTGGGCCATGCCGGGCCAACCCCTAAATTATCCTTGGGGAGGGCAGCACGCCCAGGATGGTCCATGGACTGACACGGCACGGCCCGTTTTATACCTCTAGATGCAATCTTTGGTTGACTTAATACCTGATCCGAGAGGGATAATTAAAAGCGGGCCTCGATTAAACCCAAATCCGAACCGAATCGATTTGGGGTCGAGATTTAAAGTATCAATAACCGATTATTCGGTTGAAATTCGGAAGTGACTGGATATGGTCCTATTAAGACCCGATTACAGCCCTAAATAGTAAATACAATGGATTGGCACACACTGCTTTTTTTGGTAGAAATGGATTCAAGTATAAGGTATCGGGGCTGAATTGGATTTACCATGGGCTTATTTCCTGCCAAATGTAATGCAGGTCTCAGATCCTTCGGCCCAAGCCAGGATTGGATTAATCTAGAGCGCCCTTTAATCTATACAAAAAGGCCTGGACTAGATTAGATGAACGTATAGCCCGTCCCCAGCCATTTGCAACTTCAGAGCCGTCGCTCCCAACGGTAAAAAAATAAAAAAAAAGAAAAATGAAATTCCCTTTTTAGCCTCGGTTATCTTTGATTGGTGTTGCATTTCTTGGTAGCGTCTCTAGTCTGAAGAAGAAATTGAGAGAACCTGTTTGAACTTTAAACTTTCTAGGGCTCGTACTACTTACGACCTCTTGGCTCGACCTTCCTCATCTTCCTTCGGTGCCTTTTTTCCCGCGAAGCCTCGAGGATTCGATAAACAACCAGATTATATACTTGAAGGGTAGACAGAATCTTCTCTTATTCGCCTTTCGATCTCAACGATGATACTCTTTTTTTTTTTTTTTTCCAAAGATTAAAAATCATTTGCTTTATTCTATTTAGGGTTCCGGTTTGTTGCATCCTCTCAATGTTCTCAGTTTTCTATCTCTATACTTTTTCAAGGTTTCATTCTCATGGGTTTTGCCGATGGTGCTGTTCTGATTTGATAATCTAGGGTTTCTCTTTTTTTTTTTTTAATGTGTTCTTATCTCCTGGTTTTGGGGTTGCTTCATTATCTCTCTTTGTTAATGTATTGTATATTCTGTTTCTTCAACAATTGGCTTCACGTTGTAGGAGTGGGAAACGACGCTTGGGTCTGCTGTTGCTGATTGTTTTTGTTTTCTCTGAGTTGGGTTTCGAAGAGGACTGGACTCAACTAATTAAGCTGCGACGTTATGGAGATTCAGACTTCGGGGAAACCAATCGATTCTTTGCTAGAGAAGGTCTTGTGTGTGAATATTCTTTCTTCAGATTATTTTAAAGAACTTTACAGATTGAAGACTTACCATGAAGTCATAGATGAGATCTACAATCAAGTTGACCACGTCGAGCCATGGATGACTGGGAACTGTAGAGGCCCGTCAACTGCATTTTGTCTTCTATACAAGTTTTTCACAATGAAGCTTACCGTAAAGCAAATGCATGGCCTATTGAAGCACCCTGATTCTCCTTATATTAGAGCTGTAAGTTTTTTCTTACATGTGTTTTGCATTTGCAACGTATGTTTCTCCAAACATAATTTGTATGAATTATTATTTCCTTGAAAAAGTTGTTCAACATGAATGCTTGTTTGCAAATTGACTGAATAATTTTATCATGAATATTCGATGAATGACCTCTATGCCATCATATGAAGTTCCTTGGAATTAGGTGCTGCTTACAGTTGTAACTGCACCTTCTACTTTCATAATCTACCTGTTTACTTGACATGTTTGGTTCACTTCCAACTTTCAGCTTCCAATATATTGGCACTGATATCAGATGCTGTTTTGCAGATTGGATTCCTCTACTTGAGATATGCTGCAGATCCAAAAACTTTATGGGGATGGTTTGAACCTTACGTCAAAGATGAAGAGGTATTTTTATCCCTTTCATTATCAACAAGGGCCTTATCTCCAGTATACTTTTGTATGTGTTCATTGTGGCCCTGTCCTGTTGGGTATTTTTAGAACTTATGGTGCCATTGTATGCCATCCATTTCAGTAGGTTCCATTAGACACTAAAGGTTTCTGAAATGTGTAAAGCCACTAATCCCAAATTGCAAATTGACAACTACCATGAAAGCATCTCATAGAACATAACATAAGAATATCCTTGTTAGACCAAACTAACAGAACACCAGAGAGAAGATGCATAGAGATGCTACTGGTACAACAAAACAACAAGTGCCAATATATGGTAAGTTGGAAACTAACCAGATCCATCTCACCAAACAAGCAAACCAAAGACCCAATATGCCCTTTGCTAGAGGGCATAGTTTTCAAGGCGCCAAGGCGAGGCTAAGTGACAGGGGGGCGCCTTGTCGCCTAGGCGATGGATTTTTTTAAGTGGAAAATACATATCCTAGGTAGTTCCCTAGGTTCCATAACCATCTTTCCTTAATAACTATCCATAATTTTCATAAGAAAATTATAAACTTCATGTTTATGTCTAGAAAATCAACATATTTATGAGAGGAAAAAGAAGAAAGGAAAGAAAGTTCAAAAAATATGGGGACTGAACCCCTATTTTTGTTATAGGAAAAGAAGAAAAAAAGGTGGAGGAAGAAATGTGTTGATTAGACAAAACTTTAAGTTTTTTCCCTACTTATTGGTTCAAATTCTGAAGTCTTTGAGGGTTCAATACAGCAGTTAGCAATGTTTGTGTTGATTAAATCCTAACAAATAAGAAAATAATAAAAAGAAATTAGTTTATCCGCCTGGGCGTTRCCTTGACAACTATGCTAGAGGGAGGGGCAGGAAACTCAAGCATCCTCTATAAACTGCAGAAAGGAAAATATTTTAATGATCAAAACCCTACACCCATCGATAAAGCTCCCATTGATTTTAATGAAAGAATGCTATTCAAGCAATCCCTTTTTGTTTGGCTAGCTGCAAGCCTGCAACTACTCAGCCCCATACTTTTCAGTTTACATACAATAAGTAATTGCTCCAATATAAATGAAAATGATCTCCATTTTCTCTTTCAATGTGTACCAATACTGCTTTGCTCCTTGCACTTTCATCCTGTAGCCATCTTTTTATTACTTTCAAGTCCACTTTCAGCACTATGTTTTTGAACTTAACCTGCCCAACTTCAATTCTTGTAGAATGGCAAGTAGTTCAGATTTTACGGAATCCCCTAGTCCTATGGGTCCTGAATATAGTGCTGTAGAACACCCATCATGATTTCTGAAAACACCTCCTATGCCTGAAATACCTGGATTCTGATGATGCACCTGTCACAGAAAGTTAGCTTAATTTCATATGGCTTGGTAAAATCATCTAGGAATGTATATGCAAAGTTGCTCTCTCCCTTCTCATTATACGAATCAGACATTCAGACTATCAGTAATGGTGGCTTGTTTCATTTTTTGTTTGCTATTACCATAGGACTTTTATCGTCTTATGGGTGGTTTGGGACTTCATCCACTAGAGATAAAATGACTAGAACTTGAACCACTACCAGTAGATGTAGATACGATCTTCCATGCTTACCACAACCAAGAACCTTGAACCTCATTACCTAAATCATCTTCTACTTCAATGGTATTTTCATAGTCATCATAAATCAGGAATTCTCTGCTTCTTGCATTCTAACCATGTCATCTTTCATGCAAGGTGCCAACCAGCTGGTTGGTAAGGTCTCCTGATGGTTGTAGCAGAGACTAGGGATCGAATCCCACCTGCACCTGGGTTGGGGTGGGGGGGTTATGGGTTGGGGGATAGGCTACCCCCCGTTGTGTAGCCCCCTTCACAAGATATAAAAAAACCATGTCATCTTTCGTATACTTCTTTGATTGCAGTATGCTAATATCTCTTCCTTGACTTCTATGGGGCATTTGTTACATACTTCAGCATATATCCTACCACCAACAATGTGCTCCTTCAGGTATAGGGGGGGCATTAGGGATGAAGAGGGGAGCATAACTGCTTTATACTCTGGTCCTGTGGAGCAAGGTGATGTGGCAAGGTCAGAGTTTTTGGCTGCAGTTTATGGGGTTGAGAAGGCAAAAGAACTGGGTATTAGTAGGCTTATTACTGAGGGTGACTTGAAAACTGTGGTAAAGTGCTTGCATAAGGGGGAAGGGGTGACATGAAAATGGAGGAATGAATTCAGGAGATTTAAATGGCTATCAAAGGACATGTCAATCCAAGTGAGATGGGTGAGTACTGCCAACAGTTTGGCAGATAGCTTAGCCAAGCAAGGGGTACATAAAACACATTTTTTGGGCTCAAATGTAATCTTGGATTGGGTCAGCTTCTAAAGCTGGTTTTCTTTTCACAATTCTTTGTTGTAACCTGATTTTTTTTCTAATTAATGAATTTTTTTCTGTGTTGTTGATAAAAAAAAAGAAAAATAAATATCCCTCCATTTGTCACTTTTCCACAATTTACAAGTGACAACGTTTGTGTTCTTGACTTCTTGGGGATTTGTAAATAACACCACCTCCAAGCTGGATTTTTTATTGCTTTCTCTAGTATTGTTAACCATCTCTACACTCTACTTGATAAGAAGTCTAACAACCTAGCTCTTTGAAGGTCTATAAGAACCATCTGTTAGTCCATTAGCAGATCTAGGTACTCATATGACAGTGGTTCTCAATTCCTTCTTTAACTCTGTTGTCTCTTGATTGCATGTCTGTACTTGTAAGCACTCTCTTGATTCCTCTTCAGCCACGCTGAGGCATGAGGCTTTTCTTTTTCCAATTATATGAACCCTATAGTTTAGGCTTTTTGCCCTTTCAGTTCCTCCAATACAGCTAACAACTTTACCCTGTCGGAGTTACCAATCTCAGCAGGCCTAGAGTAAAGTTAGTATATTTCCTTCCCACTTTCTGAAGACTCCCCCAACATCAAGAGGGCCTGGATTCCCTTGGCTTGTGGCCATCAGAGTTCATCTTTATGAGTCCTTAGGTGGTTAGCTTCATGTTACTGTTTAAGCCACTGTAGCCAATGATCAATCAATCAACCACCTATTTTTGATGCAGTGTTCTATGTGGACAGAACCTGCACCTCTTACTGCTTCAACCTCCAAGCCTGAAATTAGTATGATCTCACTTCTCAGGTTCTCCAATGAACCAACAATGGTCTAGAGGGTAAACAAAGTTGCAGCAGGTTTTTAATGTTAAAACTGGACAGTTTCTCATGTACAAGCTGGAAGAGAAAATTTCACCCACAAGACAGTACAATTGGGCTATAAAAGATGCAAAGTTGAATACACAACGATTGCAGAAACCAGAAATGACAGTCCAAAAAATGAAGTTGACTGCAGGATTTTGTTCAGTTTATATAGATTTTTTCTACAGCAGCAGTAGCAATGACAACTTTGACCAAAGAAGCGGTTTGCTCAAAGAAGAGGTCTGGTGAGCTGGCTCTTGGTTTGCAGACGAAAGAAGAACGGGGGTTTGGGGATCAGAAGTTTAATATGGCCCTGTTGGGCAAGTGGCTGTGGAGATTAGAAAAGGAGAAGGATTCCCTATGGAGGAGGTGGTGGTTGGGAAATATGGGGTGGTTGGCTTTGGGTAGGAATCAAGAGAAGTTACAGCTTCTTTTGGGGTGAGTGTCTGGAAAGGTATCATGAAGTTTAACCAAGAATTTAGAGATCTCACCTGCTACTTTGTTGGGGATGGCTCCAGAATAACATTCTGGGAGGATGACTGGTGTGGAGTGGGGAGGCTGTGTGGGATTTGCCCCAGACTTTACAGGCTGGTTGACCATGATGTTCCCATCAGCCATTTCTTTGAGAAGAGGGGGGACAAGATGATTTGGTGCCTGAAATTCAGGAGATCCCTTTGGGATAGGGAAGTGGAGGAATGTGTAAAGCTGTTGGAAGTATTGGAGAAATCAAAGGTCTCTAGTTCCTCAAGGGATGAACTGTGGTGGAAGGAATGCAAGAATGGGAAATTCTTGGTGAAATCCTTCTTCCTAGCCTTGATTAAAGACCGGATGGGGGAAGGGGGCTGTAGAGGTGTGTGGGGAAATTGTGTTCCATCTAGGGTGGAGGCTTTTACGTGGTTGTGGCTATGGATGGTGTCCTTACCACTAACCAGCAAACATATACCATATGTGCAAAGAAAGTGAGGAGACAGTCTTTCATCTGTTCTTTTCGTGTAGTGTGGCTGAGATGTGCTGGAGATATTACTTAGCATTATTTGGTATGCAGCTGTTCCTCGTCGAGTCTCTGGCTGAATTTTTTTCCAAGTGGCTGTCCTTCAATGGAAGCAAAAAAGCCAGAATTGTTTGGAGTTGTATTCTGTTTGCTGTATGCTGGTCCATTTGGAGAGAAAGAAACAGTAGTTTTTGAAGACAGTCGGTGTGGGCTAGTGTGCTAGAGAAGGTGGTGGAGTCTATTGGAAGGGCTGTCACTGATTGGGTGCTCATTTTAACGGATTTTGCTCAAATTTCCATGTCAGATTTAGGGTCTTCCTTTTGTTGTGCAATTGAGGTCCAAGAAAGGTTTTTGTAATGGTTTGTGGTGTAACAAATTTCCTTCCCTGTTATTATAAAAAAATGACAACTTTGACTCCTTGACTAACACARTTAACACTATACTAACCATTTAATGCATTCGCAATTTACTACAACTCCACAACTTACAAGACATAAGACTAAATGCATTTGCAAACTACTAAACTAGACATAAATATGATATTAAAGACAATTTTGATTCCAGCAATGGATCTTCCAATGGAGCCAACAATTTGGAGGCCCATTTCACTAAGTAGCTGCGGTCCATGAAGATGGCCCAGACTCCTAAGCCTTCAAATTCTGGTCCAGAACCCAAATTGTAGAAGCTGCCACTTCTTGTTCTAAAATTTATCCACTTGGCCATCGTGATGGCCATCATGTTTCTAGTTTCTAATGATGTCATCAGTTATAAATGGCTTAAATTCCATTGTTTTGACCCAGTGTGCATCCTTGATAGATATATTTTCAATGATGTCTTCTGTACACCTAGACTTATCTTTGAAAAGTCTTGCATTTATTTCTTCTCCAAAACACCATAGTGCCAACCTGATTTTACATATTAAAATGATGTTTCAGTCTGATATTAGTTTTCTAGGATGCCATGGTCACATTCTTTAGTCAGTCTGATCTGATTAAAATCAAACATGGTGATTTGCCATCTTTTGAGAGAACAAAGTGTTACTAGTAAAGAAGATTGTTTTTTTTTTTTTATTTCAATTTATGTGAATTCTGGTCGGTATATAAAATTAGGAAGCTGACCTATAATTTAGTATTTTATTTTATTTCCTAGGTGACTAGGCACTCCACTGTTGCCTGGAATCACCTATATGCCTTGCAACAGTGAAAAAAAAGAATATGATTGTGGTATTATCCTTCAGGAGTTCTCTCCAGGATCAAATGGTCGAGTAACAACGATGGGTGCCTATGTGCGGGATTTGCTTCTTGGACAGGTCAGTTTTTATTAACTTAATTATGCTCATGTATCATGGGAAAGTCTGCTTACTATGCCTGCCCTTTTCTATCTGTTCTGCATTAGGTTTATATTATAAAGGTTGATTTGTTTTTTATTGTTTGCCATACTTGCTATGGTAGAAATATTGTGAGGTGTAATACTCCGACACTTGGAATCTTCTTATTTTTATGTTCTATGTAGCATATTCAACTATCTTTAACTATTGTTCATTGAAAAGCAATCTTTGTATAGAAGTGACTTGCTATGGTCTAGTTGTTAAAATGCTCTCTCCCTTAGTTAGGGTTGATGGTCTTGGATATGGGATTAGCGACATCATAAGCTTTATAATGTCAATATTGCCATATCTATGGCCTCAATTAGGATGGGTACCATCACTTCCTACGAGGGACACAACATCTTTATTTCTGTGTCCATATATTAATTCCTTTTTTATATGTATATTAGTCTTCATGATATGCTCGTTTTATCTTAGTATTAGTTTGCATTGCAAGTTGGCTTGAAATTTTCACATATCAAGTAATTCACTTATAGTGTGGTGTTATCATCTATCAATTGGTATGACCTGTTGTTAATTATTTCCTCGTACGTGTAAAGTAATCTTTGCTAGTGCATTCAAAACTTCTGTTGAGCCACATGATTATTGGATAAACCCTTGGATGCACATGACTAATTTAACCACGCCATTTGCAACATGGTATGTATTCCTTTGTTCTGCTTTATGCATTTATCAAAGGCCTTCTTTTTCTGCCAAGGAATAAGCTAGAAAATCTTTTCTTATCACTTGAGGATAGGTATAAACAATACATGTTACAATAAAGTTAATGAAGAAAATAAAGTCTGACCATTAGATTTAGTTTTGTAAATCTTCACTGTTGGCTTCATCATCTTTGAAAATAAAGTCTGACCATTATGATCTAAGTCTTTTATCCACGATTTGTTCCTCAATTTAGCTAAGTTCTCTTATGGTGGCAAAAGATATGGAAGATTGGGGATATAACCTTGATCATAGTTAGTCCTTATATAGAGAATCGGACAAGGTGGACTTCTAAGCCTTGCAGGCAAGGATCAAAGTATTGGTATCGGGTATTGAATCGGACAGCTTGGATATGGATACAGACACGAATGCACTTTGTAAACACATGGATAGGGACAAAAAATATAGAAATGCTTGGATATGCTAGGGAAAACACATATAAATTCCATAAATACATTAATAAATCTAAATTTTAAATCAAACACAAATAATGTGTAAATACATAGGAAATGTATATTTTAATGGTGTATATGAAAAAATATATTACAATTAATATAGTGGGGTGTATAAATATCATACAATTTTATTGATAATGCATCAATCAAGAGTTCAATACACATAACATATACACATATTATATTTTAATTATTATATCAATTATTTTCTATTTTACTATTTTTACTTTTTTACATTAACAAAAAAGTCAACAAATATTAAATAATCAAATGTAAATTAAGATATCAATTAATAATTTATACAAATATATAATATAAAAATATATAACCCCCTATTTGCTAATGTTGTTCATTCATTCATTGTAATAAAATATCTTCTTAAAAGGCAATGAAAGTTATAAAATCATTATTTTTTTGTATGAGAAATAAGAATTTCAGACCCTAACATAGACTTGTTCGGGCTTGCCTCGAGGGGCATAGTACAAAGGTGACTCATAGAATCAAGAATGCAATATGTTTTACATCACATTAGCTACTTGAAGCAATGCAATTAAGGAGAAAAAGAGATTGTGGGTTTTACATGCTTGAAAATGCTTTATATGTTTGCTTTTACTTTTAAATTTTCATTTGAATACGCTTTACATGTTATGTTTATGTATTTTAATTTTATATAATAGGTTTATTAAAACATTTATTTTAAAACTTAAGTTTATATTTTTTATTAACATTATGTTTAATATTTTTTTTATTTTTTTGCATATTTAAAATGTTGGCATTTTTTTGAATTTTTTAGTTTTTTTTTGTAATTTTGTGCCTTTCTTAAAAAAGCGCGCGCTTCGCCTTGTTTCTTGCGCCTCAGGCGCAAATTGGCCCTTGTGCCTTTTTTGTGCCTTGCGCTTTTAAAATAAGGGTTCTCACACAAAAATAATGATTTTATAATTTTAATTGCTTTTTAAGATCTTTTATTAGAATGAATGAATGAACAACATTAGCAAATGCTAGGTTAAAAAAAAAGCAAAAAAGTGTGGAATTTTCAAAAGGCGCACACCTAGGTTGAGGTGCAAGGCACACTAGGCGTGCACCTTTTGAAAGGGCTGCGCCTAGGACCTAGGAGAGGTGCATATCCTAAAATGCGTGTCGCTTGTGTGCCTAGGCACGTGTCTCAGGTGTGCCTTTAAATCACTGGATATAAATGTTGATTAGTATATTTGATAGATTCTATTTAATGTTATAAAATAATTATTCTATTATTAATGCTTTATTTTTATAAGTTTCTTGAGATTAAAATCATCTTTGATTTAATGTGGATTTGATAGATTATTTATTTTATTAGTTTATAAAATATTAATTTTGAATATTATTCTTTTTAATTTTTAGTTGGAGTTGTTAAACATATATATGCATTATTTATTTGGAATACATGTAGATACTGAATTTCGTAAAAGTTATTTTGTTTAACTTATTAGCATAAGACTCAAGATGGCCTAGTGGCTTAAGGGTTGATTTAAGGTTAAGGCACTCTATGCATTGGGTGACCTGGGTTTTAATCCCTATATTGTCATTTTTTTAGGACATGGTGTATCGCTATGTATCGGTTGATTCAATGTGATACTGATCAATGCACATCTGTATCGGCCCAATATGCATGACTGGCAGGATATATCTCCAGTCGTAGCGTATCTCATATCGGGTATGGTTGATACCAATACAATGCACCCCATATTGGACGTATTGTATTGATATTTCAATCCTTGCTTGTAGGTCCTTTGTCTCGTATGCATAACTAGATGGGTTCTTATTTGCTTAGTTTTGGCAGGAATCTATAACTAGATGGGTTTGTATGCATAACTAGATGGGTGGAGGTTGGACTAAACTCGTTGGCGCTTGTATATCATAGTTATAGCACTAGTAGACGATGCAACAGGCTATGAAGTCTTGTATGGCTTTCTTCGTCGTGGTCTAATAGTAGTATTGCACAATTCACTTGTAGGTCCTGAAGATTCCAGAATATCCTCCCATAGGAGATTCATTAAAGATCTATGAGAACTTGGTCAAGAGGAGAGATTTGGCTATCACCACCAAGCGACTCTTAAAGAACAGATGCTCACCGACTATAGTGTACCTGTTCTAATATCCTCCCATAGCACTAGTAGGTGTCTAGGTGATACAGCGGGTTAGTCTTGTATTGCTTTCCTCATCCTGGTCTAATAGTCGAATTTCACAATTCACTTGTAGGTCCTGAGGATTCCAGAATATCCTCCAATAGGAGATTCATGAAAGAGCTATGGCAACTTGGTCAAGAGGAGAGATTTAGCTATCACTACCAAGCGGCTCTTAAAGAACGATGTTCACCAATTATCATGCACCTGTTCGTAGTTGAGGGATCATCTTAGACTCTATTGTGGATCAATGTTACACAACATCTTGATGGGCCTCCTTTTCAGCTTCTTAAGAAGAGGATAGATGGGCCTATATTCAGAGAGAAGTAGCAGCTCATGGACTCTGGACAAGGCATAGGCCACTCTATTGGATGGCCAAAGCTTTTACTTGGCCCTATAATTAAATCCTAGTAGTTTTTAAAGCTACTTTGCCACTTTGGACTGTGTTCTTGCTGCTACAGGATGCTTTGGACTCTGGTGGTTTGTTCTAATAATAGATGGCCTCCCCTACAGGTAAGAACACCACTTCTGTATGGATAAGGTGGCAATCATCAACTCCTTGTCATGAGTGGACTTACGTTTGGCCTGAGGAGATAAGGCATTGACGTAAAAGGAAATAGGTTGTCCTTGTCGCGTGAGAACTGCCTCAATTCTAGACTTAGATTTACTGCATTTGATCACAAAATCTTGTGTAGAAGTCTGAGAGAGCCAATGTGGGTGGTGTAGAAATTGCTTCCTCCATAGAATTAAAAGCCTGTTGGGCTTCATGAGTCCTGGAGAATGAATTCCTTTAGAGTAACTAAGTGAGTGAGTGGCCTTGCAATGAGTTCATAGTTGTGAATGAAATGATAATAGTAGCTGATAGGGCCCAGGAAACTATGAAGACTCATGATTGATGTGGGCCTGGGCCAGTTGATCATGTTGATAATCTTTTTGGGGTCAGCCATAACTTGGCCTCTCTCTACAATTTGGCCCAAGTAGTGCACCTCGTCTTGCCAAAAAAGGGCGGGTTGCAGTGCAGGATATGGAATATAACCCCGGTGGTGGTATTTTGGTGTATTTGGCAAGAGTGGAATGCAAGGATCTTCAAAACCAAGTCTAGTTCTGCTGATGGTATTTATCAGAAAATTTTGGGGAAGTTGTTTTCATGGCTGGCTGATCATAGGTTGTTTAAGGGTGTAGATTTTGAATCCTTTTTTGTACATGACAGTTTTTTGTAAAGCAGGGTGGGGGTCAAGGTCAGAGGGGACAGGTGTTTAGGGTCCCTGAATATAGCATCTTGATGTATTTTGTTCATATTATTATTACAATTATACTTTACCTTTCTCAAAAAAAGGGCAGGTTGCAAAAAGAAGTTTTATGAACATCTTAGGGATATACCCTGGTTTGGTGATAGTCGAACTGAAGGTATAGTTTAGAAAAGATTGCGGCAACTTTCAATTCATCCACTAGTTCATCTATCATAGGTATTGGAAGTTGGTCCTTTACTGTTATATGGTTGAGTGCCTAATAATCAACACAAAACCTCCATGTTCCATTCTTCTTGATTAGGAGAACAAGAGAAGAATAAGGACTGGAGTTTGATTAGATCATACCTTTCCCTAGTAGCTCTTACACAATTCTTTCAATTTTGGCCTTCTAAATTTTGGTTTTAAAAATTAAAGCTTCCTACCAAAAAATTTGGTATATTTCAATGCAACTTTAGATAATAATATAAAAAAGATCAATTTCTTTCTTATTATTCTATTTGTTTTTTCCTGCATTCATCCTATCCTTTGCTACCCTTTCCCCCCGTGAAAAAAAAAAACAGAGAGAGAGAAAGACACTTGAGCTGAATGTTTATTTCTTTTAATTACATAAAATTTAACCCATTTCTTCTCTATTGTGGACTAAAATAGGAGTCATCATTATCATCATGTGCCGATTTTATTCTCTCTGCTGTTTTTTATTTTTTGAAGTCATTCTTTCTACACTCTAAACCAGAGTTGGTGGAATGGACCTTGATAGTTGTTTCAAAAATAAGTTTTTAAATCTTTCTTTCAGATGAATTTGCAATCATTATATAAGTTGTTTTAAAAATAAGTGTTTATAAGTTGAACATGTTCATTGCATCTTCAATAGTTTTGCCACTTCTTTGATTGGATTTTAACCAAATGTAGTCATCTATTAATAACTAATTAACTTTAGTCATGATTGGTATAAATATTTGTTGATTTGAGAATTATTCTTGGATGGTTGTATGTTCTCTTCAGGCTGTATTCAGTTCAGGAGGTTTCCAACTGAAAAGAGGAATAACATTTGTTCAGAATACAGATATACTCACACATCTCGTGCCCTTTTGTGCATGTACCTTCTTTTTTCTTCAACTTTTTATTTATTGATTTTTTTTAGTTTCTTTCTTGTCTACTACATATGGATCACAGAATGTCACGCTTTCAGATGTGAAACAAGAGTAGTGTTATTATTGATCAAAAAACAAAGACTAGTGTTTTAGATATTGATTATTTGCTAACATGCTTTGGTTATGTTCACTTACACATTGAAATTAGAGTTATCTTGTTTACGTGCATGTTGGTCCATGCCAGTTCTTTTGTCTGACTCCAGATATTTAGAACCATTGTCATTGCTTTTTGTTTTTGTTTAATAACAGTTTAAAGAGACTTTACTGGAAAACTTGGAGTAAGAACTAAAAGAGTTGTTCCAATAATAATACAAGAGGTGTTTTCACCATTGAATGAATGCCTAAAAACTTGTGTCAAATGGCAAGTTTAGTTTGAATGATAGTAGAGGATACAATGCCAACCCCAAGAAACCAAAACATGACATTCATTCAATGGTGGGAAGCAATGGAGGAAAGCACCACTCAAAAGGATTTCCCAAATTTCTAGGAAAAATCTGACTCTTAACTTGGTACATTTGGAAGCACAGATGCAATAAAAATACCAATAGAAGTTTGATGGACCGGTTAAGATTGTGGAGGGTGCAATGAAAGCTCTCAATGAATACATGTAAGTCGATGGGTCAATGGGCAAGAAGCCCAAGTTAACATGTAAGTGGACCCCCCCCTGAAGGAATGATCAAGATGAACTTTGGTGCTTCTGTTAGGGGAGATGGTCAGTGCTTGTATAGATGCATAATGAAAACCATGGATGGAAGGATCATCAAAGATATTGCAGGTACCATTGGAAGATCAACAATCAATGTAATGGAGTTTTTTGGGCTGCGTTCAAGTCTCATGAGATGGCGATGTAGAGTGGGTATAGAAGAGTTTGGATTGAAGGTAATTCTGGAATCATCATCTTGCTGGGGAATGATCAACCACGATGGAAGTGTGATACCTTAGCTTGACAATGAAAGGAGAAAGGATTGGAGATTATCTACAACCCACTCATTGAGGGAAGGTAACCAAGCAGCTGATTGGATATTAATCAACCACCATGGAAGTGTGATTACCTTAGCTTGACAATACAAGAAGAAAGGATTGGAGTAATGCATTAGAGATTATCTACAATCCACTCATGGAGGGAAGGTAACCAAGCAGCTGATTGGATGTCTCACATGGTCATGGGCCCAGGCCAAGTCACATGCACCGATTCAATCCCTTTGGATGTTGCACATTTGTAGCATGAACTTGTGGGGTTGTGCAACCCTGAGATTTACATAATCCTTTTTTATTTCCCTTATTTATCAAAAAGAATAAAAGAAAACAATGTATAAAAGCACAATACCCCTAATTGCTAACCTACCCCTGGTTCCCTAGTTAGTGAATATACCAATGTTGTGCCTTCACAACAGAGTGAAGGTACAACCACCCTTGATCCAACGAATTACTACTTTGATACTTTCAAGTCTCCTTCAAGTTTCAATAAAATATAACCTGGACAAAGCTAGCCCCAACCCTTGAGTAGACATTACTACTCATCCCTAATTGATTGTTGCCAATTGGACCACAGTAGAGTGCTAATTTCTCACCTTCATGGTTCTTGAAAACCCTACCTATTAATCTATAGTGAAAATTCTTGTATTCCCGTAGCTGCAATATCCTGCTGGTTGATTTTTGTTTTTGTGTTTTTTGCATTTTTCTTTTATTTTGAGGGTGCGAGGGACATCCATTAAAGCGGAGTCATCTTTTGCTGTCCACGTGTCTTCTCCTTTTCTAAGTATGCTCTGAACTTACAACATTTATTGGATGTTTTAACTTGGTTGAATTTAGTTGACGAAAGTTTCAGATTTAATTACCTTGTCAAGGGGATTGTTTATTTTGGACATGTAGCTAGAGGCTTTTGGGTTCAAACTTTCCTCATCAATAGAGTGTGGAGTCGTTAAGCATAGGGACCTTTTCTAGGATGTCTCGTTACAAAATATTTGTTGTCTTGGAGGTGCTAAAACCTTTACAATGTGATGGCTAGCTAATGGTACTGGTAAATTTCATTTTAAATTACATAAAACAATTCATGATTCATATTCATATTGCATTGGCTAACATCTAAGTGCTTGGTGTTGGTTAGCAACCTGATGTAACTTTCCATTCCGAATGTCCTCGACTTTAAACCTGCAAGGCCCAAAGCTGGAAGCGTTTTCGTTTGTACTTTTCTAATTCTTATCGATATCATCAACTGGATTATGTTTATTTTGGCGTATTCACTTTGCTTGAAAATGAAATGACTGACTGTTCATTTTTTCCTGCAGTACTACTTCGATACACTTTTCCCTCGCATCCCTGTGCCTATTATGCGGCAGATGGTTACCAACCTTGAGAAGATGAAGCTTCCTACCAAGCACTCCGGAGTCACTGGGGAATCTAACCGTCATGGATCTGATGATACGGCCCGTCGTCCACCCTCTGTAAAAGCTGCCCTTTCGGTCTCCTTTGGTCAGCGTGCCCCTCATCGTGCATCCACAAGGGACTCTTCACCTGTTCGGCGGACTATACCACTTTCTCATGACAGAAACAGTGCGGATGACATGCGAAAGTCTCCCAGCAGCCGCCGCAGCCACAGCCGTGATTTGTCTGATCGAGACCATACTGACCGGGACAGAGACCGGGAAAGTGACAGGGACAGGGACAGGGACAGGGACAGGGACAGGGACAGGGAAAGGGACAGAGAGAGGGAGAGGGATAGGGACAGAGGGAGGGACAGGGAAAGGGACAGAGAGAGAGACAGGGATAGGGACAGAGGGAAGGACAGGGACAGAAGGCATGAATATGATCGACGTGGAAGTCATGAGAGTAGAGATTATCGCAGGTCCAGATATGCTGACAGAGAAGGAGAAAGTAGCAGACGAGACTATGAAAGAAGCAGCTACGATGGAAGTAGGCACAGAGAATCTAGTTCTCGTAGGAGTAGAAGCAGAAGCAAGAGTAGAAGTAGAAGCAGGAGTAGAAGCCACAGTTTGCAAGATCGCGTCGATCGTTCAAGCCCATTCAAAGATGCAAACAAGGAGAAGACATCTGCTTCTAGCAATCTGGCCAAGTTGAGAGATCTTTATGGTGACACAGGCAATCAGAAAGCATATAATGGACCTGAAAGGGGCGCTAAGGATAGCAGTACAGAGGAAGTAATTAGACTAGGTGGTTCTACTTGGAAGTAGCAGCCTGGGTGGGGGATGCTCTTTTCTTATATTTGGATTAGGGGAGAGAGAGAGAGAGAGAGAGACTACAGAGCTCTCTATCTCATGGATACTACTCTAAGGATCATTGTGATGAGGTGCAAAATGATGACTCTAGTTGTTGACGCTGCATCAATTGTACTTTTGAAGTTGCATAAAATTTGCGTCATAATTTTCATAGGCGAGGATGGCTCTCTCTTGATTTGCAGAGAGCAGGGTTTCCAATTTACTGGATGCACATTTATGCAGAGAACAGGGTTTAAACTTGTGGGGATTCGATTCTCAGAAGAAGTGTASTGATTCCATATTCCTATTTGAGGATGCTTCTGCGTCCTTGGTCTCATTTATATATATTTATTGGCTTAATTACCAGCAAGCGGTTAGGGCCTTGGGGGCTAGCCATGCATGCATCCTCCTTTTTTGGTGAGTAGTTGTCGACAGTATACTTGGTATTATCATGGTTTCAACCTGAATCAGTCCTCTACATTTGGAAATTCTAGTCTGCGTCGTCATTTGTCACGCAGTTCAAACTTTTGATATAGCTCCGCTTTGTGATTTCAAACGTTTCCAAAATGTTAAAAAAGATTAACGTCTGTGATCCATCCTTGTCGTTATGACTTACAAAATAAATAAAAATGTTTTTATGTTCTGAGTAATAAGGATAAGAGAAAGTTAGTTGGGTCATGGGTAAAAAAGATGAAATTCTTAAATGGGCGAATGGTGGCAGAAGATTCATCATTGAAGGTGAGGTGCTGATTGCTGAAGGGTGTTACATGACATCCAAGTTCCATGGAGATTACGAGAGAATCCCAACCGGAGGAGAACCTATCGATCTCATACTCGTATGTGCAGTTGTACACCATGAAGGAAATCAAGTAGCAGACTGGCTCATAAATGAGTCCAGACACGTGAACCCATCATCTCCCACTTGCGCATGGGCCATGGATTACCTAGCACTGTAAGATTGCTTGGGTTGCGTATTTCGTAGATTAAGTTCACATTTCCCTTTGTACCCCCCAAAAAAAGGAGGAACTTAAAATTAAAGACCAAGAGAGAGAGAGAGAGAGAGTATTATCTGTTTCAGTTATTTTAATTATTTCTCATTTTATTTTTTTTATTTTTCATTATTTACTTCTATAATTTTTTAATGCAACATCATCCATGGACAAATTAAAAATTTTAGGGTCTGTTTAGTTCACAATTGGAATCAAAATCCTTTGAAATCATAAACAGAAAGATCTATTCCCATCTGTTTAATTCAAACAAGAATCAAAATGGGAATTGTAATTAGGTGGAACGGATTTCATTTCCCAAGGAGGGGGAGGGAAAGACTATTCCCTCAAATGGAGGAATGTCACCTCACCACGAATGGGGAATTGTAATCTGATTCCATCCAACCAAACAGTTGAAATCGGAATGGCTCATTCCAATTCCAATTTTAGACCCCTATTTCTATGAACAACATACCTTTAAATCCTTTAATAGCATGACAACACTTCTTGTTATATCATATTAATCGAATTGGTTAAGGTACGAATAGTTTAAAGGGCCCAGCAAATATATTTTTCCCCAAACATCAGGGAACATATTTTTGAGGGGTCAAAATTCAAGGTTTTATGAAAATAAAATTCAGGGAAACTTTAAGTCATCATCATCCAAGCCCAACTATATGGGGTATTCTACATGAATCTTGTTTGGCMAGTCCATTAAATTCTATTTAATGCTATATACATTGTTAAATTCTTGACACTTAACCATTTTTTACTATTTGCTCATGCCCTTTTTGGTCTACCCCTTGCCCTTATAGCCCCTTTAACTTGTAATAAATCATTTTCTGTATTACTTATAGTTCTTTATGCATATAGCCAAGTGGAGACTTGGAGCTATTCTTAGTCTATGCACATGGTGTGTTGTTGAGAAAATGGTATTGTATATGTGTGGGTTGGAAGCACCGTTTTCTAAAGCAACGGTCTTTTTTTGTTTGGAAATGTTGTTGCCAAGATATGACATTTCCTGGGGCAACATCAACACCTTTTGTTTGGTACCAATGCTCCATATTGTTTTCAGCATTGGTATCCATTATAGAAAGTCCACATCACTGCGACATCATGTCCTCGTTGGCAGCAACGGATTCCAAATTGACAAAATGTCAAATTCGGCGTTGCTCCAAACCACACMTTCTCGATTTTTAAGGTATGGCTTGGATCACCATTTTTTATGAAAAAACAATTCCAAACATGTTACTATTTTCTGGAGCACCGATTTTTCCAACATGGTAATGACGTGTCATTGTTTTCTGGAGTAACGACATCGATGCCAAATACCGCCTTAGTCTATTTCATTTTGTTTTATCACCTAATGGAGTTACTTTTAAAGGTCCCATTTGTTTGGTGGTAAATTAATTATTCAAGTAAATGCATTTACTTGAATAAGTATTATCGGATGGGTATATTTATCCATATTTTTATTTGCTAGATGGGTAAATGATAATTTTCTCTTTTGTTCAGAATATTATAATTTTATACAGTTTAGCCAATTTTCCTTCCATAATTAGACAACTTGCCCACTTGATAAGTATTAAAATTTTCCTAGATAAGTTACTAAAAATGAGACCCACACTTCATTAACCAATTCAGCTGTCTTATGAATGATTTCATATATTGTGGAACATTTTGTTTTCACTACCCAACAGTCTTTTCCATTCCATATTGCTGGTTTAAGTATTTGTGAGATGTAAGTGGAGGTTTAAAAAGAAATGGCAGATGCTAGATTCCATTGGTTTAACGCAATCCAGAAAAGAAACAAAAAATGTAAGGAGTAATTTACTGTGCGCTGCAGCCTGAAATCCTGAACAGAACACTTGGTTTTCGCAGGTTGCCTTGCTACCTGCAACTACAGTAAGTYTTACTCCAACTCTCCAAGTTCCATATGTCACAGGCAAAGAACCCTCCCAGCAAAATAATGCTTCCATCCTTGCACACGATCTCTCTTCGCAAACCTTTGTCTAATCCAACGTAGCAGATGAAACCGCTAGAAGCAGCACTTAGACGTCACGCCCAACTTATCAAAAATGGTCTCCCTCCACCGGTTTTCATCTACAACCAACTCATCCAATTCTACTCCAAAGTTGACCGTTTAAAGGAAGCCCGCCATGTCTTTGATGCAATGCCCGAACGAAACGTTTTCACCTGGAATGCCATTATTTATGCTTATATTAAGAATCAAGACTTGAGACAGGCCCGCGCTCTATTTGACTCTGCTCCCCATAAAGATTCTGTTACCTACAATTCCATGATTTCCGGCTACGTAAGTGTCAATGGTTTTGAATCCCAAGCGCTTGAACTCTTCTCTGAAATGCAGGCGCAGCAGTTCAGGATCGATGAGTTCACACTTACAACCATGCTCAACTTGTCGGCAAAGTTGGTAGCCCCATTGTATGGGAGCCAGCTGCATGCATATATGGTGAAGACTGCTAATGATTTTAGTGGATTTGCTGTGAGCTCTCTCATCGATATGTACTCCAAGTGTGGGTGCTTCTTTGAAGCTTGTCAATTGTTTAATGGATGTGGAGTGTTGGATTTGGTTTCTAAGAATGCCATGGTTGCAGCTTGTTGTAGAGAAGGGGACATGGAAATGGCCATTGATCTATTCCGGAAAGCTCCCGAATTAAATGATGCGGTTTCCTGGAACACACTCATCTCGGGCTACGCTCAAAATGGTTACGGAAAAGAGGCCTTAGAATTGTTTGTTCAGATGCAAGAAAATGGAATTAGCTGGAATGAGCATACTTTCGCTAGTGTTCTGAGTGCTTGCTCAAGTTTGAGGAGTCTGAGGAATGGAAAAGAAGTTCATGCTTGGGTTTTGAAGGCTGGGTTGAGCTCGAATCCATTCATAAATACCGGTATTGTGGATGTGTATTGTAAGTGCGGGAACACGGAGTATGCAGAGTCGGTTCACGTTACTGGGTCAGAAAATGCTTATACAACAACTTCGCTAATTGTGGGACATTCTTCTCTCGGGAACATGGTGGATGCAAGGAGGCATTTCGATACATTGGCCGAAAAGAATTCTGTTGTCTGGACAGCCTTATTCTCTGGGTACCTGAAGTGCCGGCAATGTGAAGCTGTGCTCCAACTTTTTCGGGAGTTCAAAGAGAAAGAAATTGTGGTTCCTGATGCTTTGATCCTTGTCAATGTGATTAGTGCGTGTGCAATTCAAGCATCTCTGGATCCTGGGAAGCAAGTTCATGGCTACATACTGAGGACAGGGATTCAAATGGAAGAGAAGTTAAGCAGCGCTTTGGTTGACATGTATGCCAAGTGTGGACAAATAGAATATGCAGAACATATTTTCCTTAAAGTTTCTAGTAGAGATCGTGTCCTATACAATGCATTGTTAGCTGGTTACGCACACCATGGGTGTGAAGGAAAAACCATTCAGTTGTTCAGGGAGATGCTGCAGAGAGGTATCACACCTGATGCAGTCACCTTCATTGGTCTTCTTTCTGCTTGTCGTCATGCTGGATCAGTTGAAGCAGGGGAGAAATACTTCAGTTGCATGACAGATGATTTTGCGTTGTCACCTGAAATTGATCACTATTCATGCATGATTGATCTCTATGGGCGGGCCAACCAGTTAGACAAAGCAATGACATTGATGAAAAAAATACCTGTTGAACCAGATGCTGTGATATGGGGGACATTTCTAAGTGCTTGCAGGATGAATGGAAACACTGTATTGGCGAGAGAGGCTGAGGATGAATTATTACGAATTGAAGCAGATAATGGAGCACGTTATGTGCAGTTGGCCAATGCTTATGCTGCAGAGGGGAAATGGAGCGAGATGGGGAGGATAAGGAAGATGATGAAGACGAGGGAGGTCAAGAAGCTTGCTGGTTGCAGTTGGGTCTATGTGGGAAACAGAGTGCACATATTCACTTCCGGAAATACATCTCATTCTGAAGCTGAAGCTATTTACTCAATGTTATCATATTTGGATGCAGAATTGAACCAATTAAACACAAATAAAGGACTTAGAAAGTTCCTATAAAATAGTGGCCCTTTTCTGGAACTCCATCATCTTAAATATGTCAATTCATTTGGGATAGCTTGGCAACATTTTAAAAGATGGTCAGGTTAGTTTACTCAACTAGCTGTGCTGAGTGAATTAGGAGTTAGGACCTACCTACCGTCAGTTATTCTTGATAAAGTTCAGACCTATATATCTTTTAGTTTCAGAATAAAATAGAAAAGAAGGAGAGAAAGAGAAGAAGAAAAGAGAAAGGAAGAGAGGAGATGAGAGAAGAGAAGAAGAGAAGAGAGAGGATGAGAGGAGAAGAAGAGAAAGAAGAAAGACTGGTTTGACCTAGAGAGAAAAGTCCTTCTCTAGTCGGCCAGGTTGTATTTATAGTTTTCTATATAAAAACAAATTGACTCGTGTGCCCCTACTTGAGTATGGGACACATCACTTAATTTAACATTACACCTCATATTAAATGAAGTAAAATGACCAAACTGCCCCTATACTGTCAACACCAAGGTTCAAAATATTGACACGTATCGTTCCGGGACCCCTTCGATATGCCCCTATAGTGGGTGTATCGGGGGTCTAGCCAGTTCAGGGGGTGGAGGAGCCCTAAACCAGCCCCACTGAACCGGTTTCAAAAAGAAAAAAAAAGGTAAAAAAAAAACAGTATCGATTCGCCCGATATGCCCCTCAAGTTGGTGAGTATATATCATATAATCCAAGCTTGTTACATATGTACTCCACTCTTGCCCGACTCAACCCTTTGGTGAACAAATCTGCCCATTGAATTCCTGTATTAACATATGCTGTACTTATCACCCCACTAAGAACCTTCTCTCTCATAAAGTGACAATAAACTTCTATATGTTTTGTTCTCTCATGAAAAACTGGATTGGAAGAGATGTGGACTGCAGCTTGGTTGTCACAATAAAGCTTCATTGGAGTATTAATCGAGTACCTTATCTCCTGTAGAAGGTTTCTCAACCACACTAGTTCATAGGTTGTATGTGCCATGGCTCTGCATTCAACTTCTGCATTGCTTCTTGCCACCACTGTTTGCTTCTTACTCTTCCATGTCACCAGATTACCCCCAAGAAAGGTACAATAAYCTGTAGTGGACCTTCTATTAGATACAGAACCAACCCAATTGACATTAGTGTATCCCTCTATTTCAAGATTTCCCCCACTCTTGTATAACAAGCCATGACCAAGAGCTCCCTTTAAATACTTTACAATCCTTAGAACTGTATTCCACTGTGGAACTCGGGGATTCTGCATAAACTGATTCACCACACTAAATACAAAAGAAATATTTGGCCGGGTAATGGTTAGGTAGTTTGGCTTACCCATTAATCTCCTATACCTCCAGGGATCTTCAAACTCCTCACCTGCATCACTACTCAACTTGACATTCAATTCCATGAGTGTTTCGGCTAGTTTGGCACCCAACAACCCTGTCTCCTCTAGTAGGTCAAGGACATATTTCGTTTGGCACAAGTTAATACCATACTTGGACCTTGCTACCTCTATCCCTAAGAAATATCTTAGTTTACCAAGGTCCTTTGTTTGGAATTGATCATGCAAAAAGGTCTTTAGCCTATCAATCCCGAACCTATCACTGCTAGTGATGATAATATCATCTACATATACCACCAATAAAATCTTCCCAATACCATAATCATAGCTGAAAATTGAGTGGTCGACCTAACATTGTTTCATGCCAAATTTCTTCACTACTTCACTAAATCTGCCAAACCATGCACGAGGAGACTGCTTAAGTCCATAAACAACTTTCTTAATCCTATACACCTTACCATCCTCCCCCTGAGCAACAAACCCGGGTGGTTGCTCCATATAGACCTCCTTAAGAAGATCACCATGCAGAAACACATTATTGATATCAAGCTGAAACAAAGGCCAATCATACATAGCAGCTAGAGAGATCAAAACACGAACAAAACCATATAACTGTGAATAACCATTGGCAACCAATTGAGTTTTTAACCGCTCAACACTACCATCAGGTAAATACTTGACAGTGTATACCCACTTACATCCTACAGCATGCTTACCAGGAGGAAGAGTGGTGAGATCCCACGTATGATTATGAGCCAGAGCAGAAAGTTCGTCTTTCATTACTTGATGCCATCCGAAAGAGATAAGGCTTCCTGAACATCCTTAGGAACGGAAATAGAAGACAACAACGAAACAAATTGTCGACGGGAAGGGGAATGTGAGATATAGAAACGTAATTAAAGATAGGATGAAGGGTACAACTATGTTTACCTTTCCATAGGGCAATGGGAAGGTCAAGGTCAGAAACAGTGTGTGATAGGGCTGCGGAAACAACTACCGGATCTGTCGACGGACAAGAAGCTGGAGGAGCCGATGTACGTTGACGCGTATACACTTGCTGGATAGGTGGCCGTTCAGCAGGAACTGGCACCGGAGGCAAAGAGAAGAAGAAGAAGAAGAACTGGAAGCAGAAGAAGCCGGTCTGTGTTGACGCGTATACACTTGCTGGATAGGCACAACTGGAATAAGGGGAATGGGGTCCTCAAGAAGAACTGGAAGCAGAAGAGGAGAAGAAGAAGAGACATCCGACCCAGAAAAGAATGGAACTGACTCAAAAAAAGTAACATCGGGACACACAAAGCAACGTCAAGATTTGGGATTATAACACTTCTACCCTTTYTGGGTCCTAGAATAACCAAGAAAGACACACTTAGTAGATCATGCATCTAATTTGTCCACTCCAAGACCAAGATTATAAATAAAACACACATCCAAAAACCCGAGAAGAGAAGGGAAAAGGAGACAACATAGGAAACAAAATAGAGAAGGGAGATTGACCATCAAGGATGGACATAGGCATTCGATTAATAAGGAAGCAAGATGTAAGCACAACATCACTCCAGAAACATTTGGGCATATTCATATGGTGTAACAAGGACCGAGCAATTTCCACGATATGGCGGTTCTTCCGTTCAGCTACCCCACTTTGTTGAGGGGTGTAAGAGCAAGAGGTTTGATGAATAATACCATGTTGTTCTAAATATTGCTGAAAAGGTGTAGAAAATAATTCACTCATTTCTTTCATAAGATAAAAGCCGTGCCATCCTTGAATAATCATTGGCAAAAATAACAAAATACTTGTAACCATTGTGTGACACTATTTTATTAGGACCCCAAATGTACGAATGGACCAAAGAAAAGGACTCGACATACGATTATCGACTCTAGGACTAAAGGGAATGCGGCGATGTTTCCCATACTGACACGATTGCCAATCCAAAGTAGAAAGACGACTCAAAGCTGGAACAAGTTGCTTAGGAGCTTTAAGAGACGGATGACCAAGTCTGCAGTGCCATTGTAGAGGAGAAAGCGACGACTGAAGAGCTGTTGATGAACCACCACCACCATCAATATAATACAACCCACCAGCTTCATGTCCTCCACCAATCTTCATCCTCGTCTGGAGATCCTGAAAAACACAAGATAAGGGGTAAAAAAGTGATAGACCAATTGAGAGACTTGGTCAATTTATTAACAAACATAAGATTGAAAGGGAATTTGGGAACATATGAAACTAAGACAAAGAGACTGAACTAGTGTTAACATTACCAATACCACATATAGAAGAAGTGGAACCATTAGCAAGGGTAACAATGTGGGTTGTAGATGATGAAGAAAGAGAAGAGAACACACTTGGAGTTCCAGTCATATGATTGGAAGCTCCAGAGTCAATGATCCAATGGGGCATTTTGGATGCTAGACAAGCCATACTTGAATGGGCAAGCGTAGCTGTACTCGGCTGAGAATTAGCCTGGATCAACTGCTCATACTCATTACGTGGAATACTCATCATCTCTTGCCCGGAGGCATCTATAGATGTGGAAGGTGTCTTATCGGCTTGTTGAATCTCTTGTGCCATACCACCACTAGACACTGTATGATTAGCCTAGGTTGAAGGTGGGCCATGTAGATCATAGTAAAAATTAGCAGTATGTCCTTCTATACCACAATGTATACACTTTTTGGAACCATTACTATGTCCTCTACCACGAGCTCCCCTTGAATCTCGACCTCCAACACGTCCACCACCACAACTGTACATGGGTCCACCACCACCACCACGACCTGGTTGAACCTGATAAGTTCCTTCTCTACCACCACGACCTCCCCCTCTTGTCATTGCAAAAGCTGACCTATCTAAAATGGTGGGATTCTCCGTAGGTCCAATGCTAATCCTTTGTAGACGGGTAAACATCTCTTCAAGGGAAGAGAGGGCAGACCCACCTAGTATCTGTGCTCTCACCAGCTCATATTCAGACTTCAATCCCACTAAAAATCTGGTCACATCAAGCTGCTCTCTCTGTTGTTGCTGAATTTTGACATCAAATGCAAGGGGGTGATACACATTTAACTCATTCCTAAGGTCCTCAGACTAGCATAGTACTCCTCAAGACTTTGATTACCCTGTTGCAAATTAAAGTACTCTTGATAGAGCTGGTATGCTCTAGCGGTATTGTCCTGTCCTGAGTAAAGCTTCTTTGCATGACCCCAAATCTCCTTGCCTGTGTCTAAGAACATGAAGTTCATACTAATCTTAGGTTCCATGCTGTTCTATAACCAAGTCATAATCTGTGCATCTTCTTGTTCCCAATCACTATACTCCAGAGAGTCAACTAAAGGCTTGTCTTCTCTCACATGCTTGACTTTCTTCTTAGCTTTGAGAAAAACTTCAACAGATTTGGCCCAAGGCACGTAATTCTCTCCATTCAGTTTGATGGAGGCCATTTGCACATTCAAGTAATCAGGGGGAATCATAACAGACTTATGTTCACTGCTGTCTCCCATCACTTACCAATGATCACCACACTACACTCCTATGGCTGAATGATCACCACTGTTCCACTCCTATGGCTGAATGACCATCATTGTTCCACTCCTATGGCTAACCACTGCTGAAACATTCACTGTCACAGGTTTCAGCAATGGTAATCACCACTGTTCTCCACTTTCGGCACTACACACACACACACAAAATAAATAAATAAATAAAATAAAATAAAAAAATCACACATCTGATACTAGGTCTACAGCACATCAGACATTACTTCCCTTTATATCCTCATACAACCCACCTATCTGAACCACACAAGTCAACCTCAAAACTGTTAAACCACAAACTACTGTAGCAGCCCTCTTCAATTCATTGATTAGAGGGTTTTCTACCAGCCACTTGAAACCACCACAACGCAACCAATCGGAGGCATTAAAACCTCCAGAGGAAAAAAATGATGACTCCTTTTCAGCCTTTTTGTCAAACTCCAAGAAACCTAAGAGAAATCTGCAAACTACTGAACTAGGGTGCACAGAAGACTACACAGATCTGAACTGATTTAACTTGGCTCTGATACCATGATAAAGTTCAGACCTGTATATCTCTCGGTTTCAGAATAAAAGAGAAAAGGAGAGAAAGAGAAGAAGAGAAGAGAGAGGAAGAGAGGAGAAGAGAGAAGAGAAGAAGAGAAAGAAGAAAGACTGGTTTGACCTAGAGAGAAAAAATCCCTCTTCTCTAGTCGACCAGGTTGTATTTATAGTTTTCTATATAAAAAACAAATTAATTCTTGTGCCCCTACTTGAGTATGGAGCACACCACTTAATTTAACATTACACCTCATACTAAACATAAGTAAAAAGGCCAAACTGCCCCTATACTGTCGACACTAACAATTCTCATTTGGGAGATCTCTCCAGTCTTACCCGATGATCCTGCGCTTCCACCCCATTCTATTATTCAGGGCAATTGGAAGATAAATAAATATGCAAATGGCATCAAGATGTTGAAACATCTGATGTTTGAGATCAATAAATTACAAAACTGAGAGCCAAAAGGTGGTTAGACCAAAATCTGTTGTAATTGATTCATTTTGTTGTCTCTTATAAGTTACAACTGCAGCGAGTCAAGCCAACCCCAAATGTGAAAGTTCAGCAAGCTGAGGAAGTGACGCATCAGGTAAATCCATAGTCAACACTGCACCTTGGATTTTTTTTTTTTTGTTTTTCTGAAGTAGTTTCTCTTATTTTATGAAAGCCTGCTTTTTACAAGATTTGGGTCTTTGTATTTCAGTTCTGCAGCTCTAATATTGGGATCACTGGAACTGATTCTGAAATTGGAATTCACTGAAGTTGACCTGAAGGGAATGAATAGGTGATTCTTTCTTCTTTGCAAGGAACTTATATTCCCCAAATAGAAACATGTTGAACAGTAGAAAATAGCTGGTCCAGAGCAGTGAACTAAATTCTGGTATGAGAATTGGAGGTAGAAAATGGTATATTCCCATGTTCAGAAAAATGCTAAAACCATATTCATTTAACTCTATACTTGAGACAGCTATATCCATCTCATGTATGTGATGATAAATACTGTAAAATCATTGAAACAATCAGATAAGAACCACAGAAGTCTTAAATACCTTTGGAAAGTTAAAAGCTAGTAAAGAAAACTAATCAATCTTACTGTAAACCTACAATCTGCATAGTGACTATGTTTTGGGTTCTTGAATTTGGTAGAGGTGTTTGGGGCTTGGTTGTTGGATCTTGTTTTCTTTGGTTGATCGGAGCTATTAAGGTAGAATTATATGGGCCAACTGGTGGATTTTGGGATTTGGGCTTGTCTCAGCATCTTTGCATGTTTTGAGCTTTTGGTGATTGTTCGATTGGGTGTTTGGCATGTGAGAAGTGTTATTTTATAATTGAATCATGCTCTTAAGGATTGGGTCATGTCTTATCACATTTACACCTGTTCATCTTTTCAGGAATCCATTTTTCTTGGTAACTGTATTTATCCACATTATTTTGATCAAAAGTGTTTCCCAGGTAAGATAAACAGTGACCATTTTTGCCTATAAAATGTCAGTTTTGTCTCTGTTCGTATATTAGAGTTACAGGGGTGTTACTATAGTTTTCATTTCTTTTGAATATAGCATATTGGGCGGAAGCTGCGTCTCTCTCGGTAGAGACTGTTTCTGCCCTATTCTGTTTGTCTCCCTCTTCTCTTCTTCTCCATCACTTCTCAATACAGGCTTACCAGAACCTTCTTCTTTATTTATTTAACTAAATACAGGCCTGATAACACTATTGAACTCACAGTTTACCGAAAATCGAACATGGGATTGTTGGTCAAATGGCTCCATGGGAACTACTCTTCCATTGACCAACTCCCCCCTTCCATTTCCCAAAAAAGAACAGTGCCTTTGTGTTTTTTAAGGAGTGATAAGAGGAAATTAAGAAAAAAATTGGCTGTTAACAATTGATTTTTGGAGTCAGAGATTTATTTTTATCCAAAATTTCCCCCTTCTTCCTTCATTTTTCCTTTCTTTTCTGGAGAACCCACCAAAGGAATTTTGTAATCCAACATAAGTCAAATTCTTTTGCACCTGAGAAATAGATAATCAAGAACATCATAAGAAAAAACATTAAAACAACATCGATTACAACAATGAATGGATTTTGAATGATTTTTGGATTAGCGTCTTCACAAATGATTCGACGACCAAACCAAGACTGTTCAATCTTCATCATTTTTTGTCCCTCTGTTATATATAATAATGCCTTTGAAATATCAGCCACTAAAGGGGATCCTCTTGGAAAAGCCTATAACAAGAAAACAATATAAGAAATTAACAACACATAAATTATGCAAGTTCAGATCTCCTACCCATAAACTGTTCCCACATCCATACCCACTACAGGTGCGCACTGGGGAATGTCTGTCTCATCATTCCTGGGGGGATGTTTCCAATACATGGTGCTAGGCGGTAGTGTCTTGTGGGTATGAATGTGAGACTGGTTTGTGGGTAGGATATCCAGAGTGAAATTAAGCATATTCACAACTTCTAAAATGGAAAAACAAATACTTACAAATCCAAATCCATCAGTCTTGTGTGTAGGTCCAATAATTTCATATTTAGAGCAATATTTTCCACGAAATGTATAAATATAAGGTAATTCATCAAAAAAAGCAGATACACCACCATTTTGAGATCCTTTGGATAATGCTTCATTACATTCTTCTAGGGTGCTATAGGCCTTTAGCTTGGATTCAGCAAACTTTGATCTCTTTAAGAGATCCTCTATGAATGAGCCTTTGCGATAGCCTACATAATCTCCATTTCTGATAAGGTCCTCTAACTCAATTCTGATAGGTTGAAGCTTTTTTACCATGAATATTGATGTTAGGCTTGCTATGTAACTTGATGTGAGAATGATAATTGTAAATAACCACATCATCACCAATAGTTTAGAAAATATTCCAACCAATATATTTTTTCCTGCAATTGTTAAGAAAGTGAAATGATTTAAAATGTATTTATTTTATAACAAGAAGCATAAATTCAATCAAGACATGGTGTAAGCTTGGGGATTTATAATAGCACCAATATCATCAAAACTAACACCAAAAATGAATTAGACAATTACTAAATGTATTTTTCATCTTATCCAATTGATATAAAAAGTTTATTAATTAGACAATTGAGGTTAGAAATTTCTTCAACTTATTAAATTTGTACAACCTATAAAATTATTCTGTTTTTATTATTCTAAATCTTTTTATTTTCTAAGTTAATAATACAATAACACTAGTGATTGAAAATCTCATATGTATTTGCTATATGCATTAGGTTTGATTTTTGAGGTTAATTCATTAAAAAGTGAATAGGGAATCTATTTTTTTTGGGCTAACTTTTGACTTTGTTCCAATGTATTCTGTTGGTGGGGAGTTAAGACATTTTACCTCCCCCCTTTGTACTTGAAGCTTCACATAGTTTCATATCATTAATAAAGTTTCTTGTTACTGATAAAAAAAAAGGTTAATTCATTAAAAAGTACTTTTATAAATAGAACTATTTTGATTATATTGCATGGATGACTTATTAATTTATGACATGATAGTAGTAATAAAAAAACCTATAACATATTAAAAGAATCCCATGATATAAGAAACACAGTAAAAAATAAGCATTGGAACTAGATTTCATTTATGGCAGCAATAAAAAACTATATTTCATTTAAATAAAAATACGATATTATTTGCCTATTTGTAACAAATAGATAAAATATTTTCTTTTAATTCTAAATTGTAAGTTTGTTTAGGTGAAATAAAAACAATTTTTTTGTGTTGTTTTTGAAGTAGCTTAAATGGCTAACAGAAAAATGCTTAGGTATCCTTAAGATATCCTATATCATAAGAAATGATCTAATAATTTTCTATGAAAGAAATATTATCCCCTCCATCACTCAAAATGATTCCAATTTTTTAGATACTAACACATTACCCAAGGCTATGTTTATTTGCAGTGCAAATTTGAACCCAGTCCAATAGATTCAAATAAACTTTGCACCCAGTCCAATTCTGCATCCATTTGTTTGTAACTACAATTTGCATTCCTATCTGATATTATAAAATTATATATATATATTTTTTGTCTCATTTGCACTCATTAGCAGTGCAAATTTTGCATCTCAAAAATAGATGCCAAATTTGCACCAGTTGCCTCTCACCATTTCTTTGGACCACAACAACTTGCTTCCTACCTAACTCCAAAACAAATAACCTTCCTCTTACCTCCATTCTCTGGCACATTGTTTTGTTTCACATTTATTTCTTACAGACAAACAAGGCAGAGTTTAATCTGAAACAAAAGTAAGAATTTACACACTAGACCATTTGCACTCCCATGCATTTACACCAATGCAAATGAAATTTACATCACAAACAAACTAAGCCCAATAAAAAGTTGTAGAAGAAGGAAAAAAATACTAAAGATGTACCTTACAAACAACGGGATAAATTAAACCCTGAACTTAATTTTTTTTTTTGTTTTAACTAGAACTCTTTTTTTATAATTAAATTATTTTTCTTGATTTTATATTTTTGCCTTTTCTACTCTTAAGTGAAGGCTATCTTGTTGGACTTAAACCATGTGTCTAGTAGCATACACCTGAGAACAAAAGTTTCCCATTTCTAATAGGCAATTATGATGGAGTGGCAATGATGGATAAGAGAAATGTCACTTAACAATAGGTAAGAAGGAGTGGCTAACTCTTTATATAATTAAAACTTTGAACATAAAATTTTCTCCTTTTATAGTTGAAATCCTTTTCAAGTAGTTACATTTTTTATAGACTTAATTCCAAAGCTTCATTTCTAATAGTTTTCACAAAAATTAAACTAAGAGCCCTTTTTTTGCTGAATTAAATGGCTGGTGACTCCAGAAAACACTAATTTGGATAAAAAATTATCCAATCTAGGTTATAAGGATGTAGATCAACGGCAACTTTTGTGTCAAACAAGCACACTTTCTTCCTTTTTCTAATATGAATATCTATGGATTTCCTTGGAAAAAAATAATTAATAGGAAACAGATTATTTTCTTAATTTTCTTTGGATTAGGTTTAACTTAGTAAACAAACTTGAACATATGAGTGTTTAGCATTTGAATCAGGAGGACCAAGCCTTTGTTCAAATAATTACTTCAGGAAAATTAGAAGGAATGCCATTTTATATAGTACTAATTTTTAGAAAATATTTTTTCTATGGCCATTCCACATGCAACTTAGAGGTACAGCTTGGGCGGCCTCAGGTTAAGGATTTGCTAAAACTTGAATGGGTCCAGTCTGAAAAGAAGAGGCCAGAGCCTGTTGCTAAATATGTAAAATTTTCAAATCGGATACTTGATTTGCACCTCTATAATTAAAGACTACAAATCAAATAGAAATTTGTAGGAAATTGTTCATTTCCCTTCATTTTACATGTAACCAAATGGAACCATGATTTTTCTCATGTTTAGGAAGTAAAAGAGAAACGGAAAATAAAATTATGCTTTTAGCATAAATGCTCTATAGTATATGTGGAATGATAGAAATTTATAATGAACATTTGGATGCTATAGAGATGAAATGTTTTGCATTTGTGCATGCTTTACTTCTTATGAGCACTTTAAATGTCTTTTACATTTAAATGGTTTAAACTAAATTCAAGCAGAGATTTAATTTTGGCCAAAGACCAAACACCACAAAGTAGTATTGTTGAGATAAATTTCTATTTAAAATTTTAGAGAGGTCAAAGAGATATTACTGTGGGTAAGGGGTGCTGATAAACTGTGCAGGAATGTTCTATCATGTTGAATCATATGACCTTTAAAACTGTTGTGTCCTTGGTGTTTAGAAACCCATATCACAAATCCAGTGAAGATAAAGAAAGCGATTCTTGATGATAAGAAATCCCAACTTAGAGGCTCTATCCATACATTATTATCTTTTCTTTGTTGAGATTTGTTTGGAACTACCATCCACACACCACCATCTGTATAAGGTAGAGCAAAGTCAACGTATAATGACCGGTTGGCTGTGATTGTTATATCACCCACAACTGCATCATATTCCTATATATCACCTCGGCATAGGAAAAATAGAAGAAAACAAATAAGTCCAATAGAGAAAGAGAACCTCATCTACTTGAGAACAAAAGATAGCTCTTAGGGTCCCTATGATTTGTGGGAATAGGGGTTCTGGAATCGGAATGGGAATGGTCAATTCTGATTCCATCTGTTTGGTTGGGTGGAATTGGAATCCCATTCCCATTTCTGGTGGAATGGCATTCCCTCATTTGAGGTAATGGTCATTCTCTCCCTCTCCCCTGAGAATGAGAATCCATTTCAGCCAATTCTGATTCCGATTCTGATTCCAATTTGAACCAAACAGGTGAGGGGAATAAACCATTCCAATTCTGACTGTAAACCAAACAGACCCTTAATTCTTCTCATTATTACATGAAACATTTGAAAGAAGCTTGGGATAGGGATCCCTTGTAAACACCATATTCTCACCACATTGGCAAGTGTTTGTAGTTTAAAAGGTCCTCTTTCACAAACAAGGATCCAGTGACACTAAAGGTAGTGCCATCTATGAGTCAAATATATATAGTGTATATAAGGAAACATAGAATATCATGGAATTAAGAAGTAAGATTTGAGATGGCACAAACCTCAGTGTAGACTTGGTATATCAAATCATTGTAACTTCCAGCACTCTTACCATCCTCATTTTGGAAAGGAACAAACTCATAAGGGATGTTATATGGTAATGAAGCCATCACAGAGTTGAATACATCTATACAGTATCCACTAACATTAGTTAATTTAGTGCTAGGATCTTGTTCCACCTTAACGAATTCACTAAAACCCTCAGCTGTTACTGGAACTCCAATTCTTAGTTTTTTCTTACTCTTCGGAATCATCCAACCCTTAGGAGCATTTATTGATTCTCCTGGCCAAATGATTCCTTGAAGACTATCATCTGTAAGTGAGCAAATAATCTTATCATCCTCATTTAAGTCCTTTGAAAATCCATGTTTTACTGTCCAAAATCCAACCTCTTTGCTCCCTTTTCCAACTACATTCAGTATTTGAAAAGCTGATGGTTGTAGTTGTCCATTAATAAGATGGAAATCGCCGGTTAAACCCTTAAGTTTGATATTTTGAATCTCTTTCAAAAGCTTTGAGCCTATTATAGAGATTTTTAAGCTCAGTAAGTCTGTAGAGGTTTCATCAAATGTTGGTTTCAGATTGTGGGGTGTCATGTTTTGAACTCTCTCCACTGCCATTGCCAGTGCCCAGATGGTGTCGTATGCCCATAATGCAAAAGTGTTCATGTTTGCACTTTCAATATCTTGGTTCTCTTCAAGGAATTTTCCTTTCCATCTTTCGATGAAGCTAGTGAGCTTATCTGATTGGGGAATATAAGGAGTTATGCCCAAAACACCTTGCATAGAATTAATAACAGAAGAATCCATATTTCCCAAAACATTTGTCAACTCGTTTGTGATAATCCAAGCATACCCTTCACTCATCATTCCAATCTCTTTGGCCTTCAAGAAGAGACGAGATCCAAGAGAAAGTGGCATATGAACAACAAATACACTAGTCTGCATCTTCATCAACTTCATGAGCTCTTCAAGAATTTGTTCATCAGTGGCTGATGGGGAAATGACACTTCTATAGGGAACACGAGTGTTTACCTCTTGTAAGGCATGTATCAAATCACTTGTTAGTTGATTTCCATAGTCAGCATCTTCAAGAATTGGGATGACTTTTCTCCATCTAAAGGCTTGTGCAAGTGAGGCAATACCTTGTACTTGAGTATGATCATCTGGAATTGTTCTTATAAAATATGGGGTTCGAGAGCATAAAGAAGGGCTTGTTGCACAAAATGAGATGATGGGTACTTTAACTCTGTTACCAAGATCCACAATAAATTCGGCTTGTTGAGATGTTTGAGGCCCTACTATTGCTTGTACTTCAGTTTTCTGTAGTAAGTCAATTGCTGTATTCAAGAAGAGGACATATCAAATAATTGAAACAATTAAGAAATTTATAGCTTGGATATTGTTTAATTGCATAAGAGATGAGAGTTAGATATAAATTTGACTTCAATCAGCCTAGGTGCTTTCTTGATTAATAAATTGGTTAGTGATCCATTTATTTCTTCCATATAGGAAACTATTGGATATTTAACTGAGACTAGTACTGCTTATGACATTAGTTCTGTAAAATTGACAATGCAATCAGAAGTGTTGGTAAATGGTTGTGGTGGGATAAGAAAAGGGGACTTTAAAACAATGTAAAAGCTGTATAACAATATCAAGAAATTAAGGAGTACTAGAGCTATTTGAGTAAAATATGAGCATATATAACAATCTCAATATATTGGACAGTACTGCTAATGAGTAGTTATGATACATATGAAGAAGGTGAGAAAGCTTTGAGATTGTAGAATCGTACTGTAACCTTCTCTTTCCTGCATCTCCTATGAAAGATTGATCCAATGCTGGGTGCTCCTCTTGGCTAGACTTCTACCAGCAATCAACCCCACTGGTCGTACATGTCTGTGGTGGAAAAGGGCACACGGTGTTTCCTTGGGGGAACCTGCAACTTTCTTCTCCATCAAAGAGATTTAGAAGGCCTCAGAGCCTTTTAAATGGGCTTTGATTGCTAGCTGATATCACGCCAAGGTTTAAACTATCCAAGGATTTCGTGATTTTAGCTACATGGATCAGAAACACCTTCTCTTTCATTTATTGGAGCAGCGACGAGCGAGGATTTCTTGAAGGTTTAGATGAGGATAAGTCATGATGGATTCTACTAAAGGCAAAAGGTCATCTATGAAAATAGGCTTGATCATTGTGGGAAGTAATGCAAGAAGGCAGCAAGGGGAAGGGGATAGCCGTTGAGCCTGCATCCTAAAGAGTAACAGGGAGAAACTTGCACCATAAGCAGGGGAGTGCAACTATGATCAACAACCAGGCTGTGCTCGTGAATTCTAGTTACTAGCAATGATTAAATGATGGTTGAGGTAAATCAAAAAAAGCTTTATTTAATTTCCTAATTGAAAGAGTGGAAAAATTATAGTCAAAGTGGCATGAATCTTTACTCTCTCAAGCAGGAAAGGAAATCTTGTTAAATGCAGTAGCTAGTGCTATCCCAAATTATACCATGTCTTGCTTCTTGCTCCCCAAGGATGTTTGTAATGAATTGAGAAGAATTCAAACTAGATTCCGGTGGGGAGGATCAAAAGAGTCAAGGAAAACTCATTGGGTATGTTAGGAGGCCCTTGGTAAAAATAAGCTGGTGGGGGGTTTGGGCTTCAGGGACCTATATAAATTTAATCTAGCTTTATTAGCAAAACAAACTTGGAGGATCTGTAGAGAGGAGGACAACCTGTGGGTTAAACTCATTAAGGCCAGATACCTTAAAGGTAAAAATTTTCTAACTTCTAGACTCCCAAAACAGGGTTCTTGGGGTTGGCAAAGCCTTATAGCTGCAAGAGAAATCCTCCAAAAAGGTGCTTGTTAGGCTGTAAATTCAAGAACAAAAGTCAAGATCTGGGATGACCCTTGGCTCCAACAGATCGAATCTTATAGGACAATAGGCCCCAGACCAAATAATCCAGACCTAAACTGGGTGAGAGATCTCATGGATGAAGATGAGAGAAGATGGAATGTTAGACTGATTGGGGAGAATTTTGGGGAACCCATAGCAAGAAATATCCTAAGTATAAATCTGACAATGGGCTCCTGGGAAGACAAGCTTAGATGGGTTCTTCATCCAAGTGGGTAGTACACAGTAAAGTCAGGATACTTTGCAATGAATACCATTAGTAGTGAGAACCGCAACAACAGGGAGATTAATACTACTAACAGAGGCTTGAGAAAAAGTCAGTGATCTGAAATAAGGAAAGCAAAAGTTGACCCAGAGATAAAAAATTTCATTTGGAAAAAAGAAAATCTTTTTAAAGGAAATCTTGCATCAGATGATACTTGCCCAATTTGTCATCAACAGACTGAGTCTCTAATGCATTGCTTATTTGAGTGTGAACATGCTCGAGCAGTGTGGTTTGGTTGTCATTACAGCTTCAAGATAATGAGAGGAAGTGGCTTTAGTTCTTTCAAGCAATGGATATCCAATTGGCTAGATCTGTGCATGAAAGAAAATGATACGACGAATGATATGATTGCATTTTCTTTTCTAATATTGTGGAATATTTGGAAATGTAGAAATTTAAAGGTTTTTGAAAATACTGATCCAGATCCAAGAACTCCTCATTGTGATTTACAGGATGTGGAAAGAGAGATTGAAGATTTCCCGAGTAGAATTGCAAAATTCTTCTCATCTGCCTTGAAATCCTAGTCTAGTGCCAAATCTTTTTTGGGAAGCTCCAGAACCAGGACAGTTGAAACTAAATAGTGATGGTAGTTTTTTGAACCCGAGATGCTTAGGTTTTGGTGCTGTATTGAGAGACTCTGCAGGAATTGTAGTAGCTTCATCTTTTGGTAAAACTACAACTTCCTCCCCCATCCAAGCAGAAGCAATGGCAATTCTCAACAGTTTGGAAATTCTGAATCATTTTGAGAAAGAAACTCAATGGAATCAGACTGTCTAGCTCTAGTGCAAGCGCTGACCTCTAAGAACTTTGACTTGGCATTGGACGCAATTTTTTTGTGCATGGATAATAATTATGTGTACTGAAAGGATTTCTGTTCATTTTGTATATGTAAACAGAGTTTGTAACAAAGTAGCCCACTTGATGGCTAAATGAGGTCTAAAAGAGTCTGGGTTATTTGTCAATGGACCACCTGGGTGGATCCAAAGTTTGGCCAACCAGGACTTAATTAGACCTTAATGCTTGGTTTGTACTCTTTTTGGATTGCTTTAATATATCTTTGTTGTTTCTATCAAAAAAAAAAAAAACTCAACTCCAGAATTGACCAGACATGCTGATCAGGTGGAACCAATTAATGGTGGTGGAGATTCTGGTCTCATCTGCCGTGACAAGGCTACTCATGAAGTAGAGAACGTGGGGATTTTTCTAGGGCAAATAATTGACAAATTGCACCCTTACTGTTTAATTATTGTCTTAAATTACCCCTATTGTTTTGGACAATTGACTAGCTCTACCCCTGTCGTTAGTGTCTATTAATATTCTGTCAAAATCCGTACACATGTGACACCACGTGACATATAATTTTTTTTAAATCCTAATATTACCCATCATCCTACTTCTGTAAGTCTCTGATATTTCCGATGCCAAAGCTTCAGCGTTTCAGAGACTACAACTTCGACCCCCAAATCGATTATTTTCAGGTTGAACTTCGGTGCCGGTTACAGGTCCCACAATCGCAACTGGGGTTTGACATCGAACCGAGGCTGGAGCTAGTGAGCAAGTGGAGGCAAGGAGACTGATCAGGCTGGGTGTGCTTCTATGTTTTTTTGTCTGAATCAAAATATCTTCACTGTTGTAACTTCTGGTGGTGGGGTGCTTCTATCTTTTCCCTCTCCAATAAGGTTCTAAATATCGATATGCCCGATATGCCGGTAGGGGCGTATTTGGCAGTATCAGTATTGTTTTTTTATTTTTTTTATTTTTTTTTACTTTTTTTTTTTCAAATCCGGTTCATGGGGCTGGTTTAAGGTTCCTCCACCCCTTGAATCGGTCAAAACCCCGATACACCCTTTGTAGGGGCACATCAGGGTGCTCCCGATACGATACGTATCAGCTAATACGGACCAATACGTAACAATTTTTTGAACCTTGCTCTCCATATCTCTCTCCCTCTATATCTCTCACTTTGTCTCCCCTCCTTTTTTCTTCTTTTCTCTCCCCTTCTCTCCACTACAATAGACCTCCCCTGTTCACTTTCCTAAACCACTGAGCAGACAGTCTCGGAATGGAGCTTGTTGATTCAAAGAAGAAACCGTTGCATCTTCCCTTAGATCGGAAAACGGGAAGAAGAGAAGAAGAAACCTTAAAATAACAACCCTCGGTGACATTGGTGGTTTCGTGTTCATCAACAGTGAACATCGAAGGAGACGGAATCATTCAAAGCGTGCTGGTGTGCTTCGAGGCATTGAACCCTATTTAAAAAGGCAGCAACATCATCGGCGGTTCTGACAACCCACCCAAGCCCAAAACCCAAATTTGGTATTCTGGTTCAGGTGCTTGAATGGCTTGATTCCAATGAGTCTGACTATTCGAACGAACCCAGATTGAAACTTTGCAGAGGTTCTTGTAAACTGGACAATTCTGGGGCTTCTGATAAGTTGAATTCTTTTCTGAATGTTAAGGAATTGTTGGAGATTAAGAATGGTCAAGCTGGTCTGCTACAGGTGGGAATTAGGCCCCATGCCAAATGGGAGATTGATCCTAAAAGCACTGAAGTTGTCATGGAGATAGATTTCTCATCCACTATAGAAGGAAAAATTTTCGGTTCTCTTTGTTTGCAGCTTGCAGGGTTCTTCAATGGATAGGATTGATACATTGTTTTGTTCCTATTGAAGCAGATGTGTATGGGAAAGCTGTGTACAATGGACTTGCAGGCTTGATTTCAATGTTTCTTGAGAACCGTGTGCCATGTGATTCCTCTCAAAAGCAATCGATGTTGCTCTCTTTAAGAAATAGGGCTCCAGATATGTTAAGGATTGTCGGTATTAGTGAAGCTTCAGAAAGTGTGAATCTTTTTAAGATCAAATACATGGAAGGATTAACACTCTTCCCTGGCACTGTTATAAAAATTGCAGTGACTGATCCTTTTGTTGATATATCCAATATGTATTTGGATTGTAAATTACTTATAGTTACAAACAATTCAGTTAGTCCACAGATTGGGCTCTCAGGAGTCGGGCTTAGCTAGAGTCCTTTCAGGTTGGTCTCTTAGTCTAAATATCAAAAATTCCAGCGAGAGAGGCATTGAAGAGAGTGGAAATAGTTTCTTGCTGGGGCTTACGCATGGAAGGAGGGGTTCTCTCTCCATATGGGGTTGTCAGGAAACTGTTTCCCATTAGCTAGAGATGGAGATGGAGACAAATGGAGACAGAGCAGCGATCTGCTTCTTGAAACTTGGGTTTTATTTTGAAAATTTGAAGAATAATGGAGGGCAAATTTGAGACAATAGTTAGCACTTAACGATGATGTCAACTGTCAGAAACAATAGGGGTAGTTTAAGACAATAGTTAAACAATAAGGGTACAGTTTACCAATTAACTAAACAGTAGGGGTAGTTTAAGAAATTTGCCCACTTTTCTATGGAGGTAGTTTTGAGCTAGGCGAGCATGGAAGAGATAGTTTCTACCGTTCTAAAGCCAACCTCTAGGTGGATGAATGGCTTTCTAAGTTTCTATGAGTAGTGATTTGTAGAAGAGAGAGGTTATGAATTGCTATAGAAGATCGTTTTGATCCTAGATCCATAAAAGGTTTCCATCCTTATTATTCATCACCATGAAGAAGTTTATTTGGAATGTGCATGATATTGGCAATGAGGACATGCGTCATAGGCTTGAAAAACTGGTACCTTTGCATGATGTTCGTTATCTAGCTATTATATATTGATAATAAAATCAATGTTCAAAAAACCGGACGGGGCATCGACCAGGAAAAGACTAAAAGAGAGAGGTTTGCAGGTCAAGTTTGAACTTGAGGTCGAACTATGATGACGCAATATATATATATATATATATATATATTATAAATTGTATAATAATATATTCATAATATATAATTATATTCAGTTATAATATATTTTTATTTTATTTTATATTATAATGTAATGTAATATAATTTATATAATATATAAGACTATATACTATAAGTATGCACAATTATATGATATATAATTATATACATAATAATATTAACTATATGCATATTATTCAAAATATATGATTGCTTTTTTTCAATAACATATGCTTTTTTATTTTAGTTTCAATTTTTATATTAAAAATTAAGATTTGAGGCCAAAAGGAAGGCATTTTTTTTGCATAAGTAGTGGGGCTTTGGCACCTTGGTAACACGTAAATCCAAAAAAGTTACCAAAAAAAAATCACCCTAATTGAACATCCAAGCACAAAGTTATGGTCTTTAGAAATTTGCATTTATGTGCTAAAAAATTTTCAAAAAACTGTCCAATTTTCTAAAACTTGGACTGGGTCAATGGTTTTTTGGTTTAACCATTTGGGTTAGCAGTTTTGGTGGATTTTTGAACCAATGCAGTTTTGGGGGTATGACTGAACTAGCCAGGGGCCTGCTCACGATTCAATCGGGCCAATTTGGTTTTTTAAAACTGGGACTGGGTCACCGATTTTTTGTTCGACCATTTGATTCAGTAGTTTTGGCCATTTTTTAACCAATATAGACTATATAGTTTTGGGGGTATAACTAAACCAGCTAAGGGCCTGCTCACAGTTTAATCGATCCAACTAGCTGGGCCGGTTCGGTTTTCTATACACTGAATAAAAGAATTAAGGAGGTTAAAAAGAAAATTGGCTTTCATGGATGCTCGTGTGATGATGATAACAAAATTTGGCTTCTTGGAAAGATTTGCTTGTTGTGTTTGTGGTTGTAACATCCGCTCAATCTTTGCTTACATATTGGTATAGGGGTGCTCACGGTTTGATTAACCATGGCCTAATTTCCAAACTGATCCGGAATCACCAATTTTAGAAAATCATAAATCGAAATCGGAACAAAACTAATCGGTTAATTGGCTTATTGGTTTGATTTTTGATCAACATAGTTATTTGGTTTTTCAAATTTTTAATATTTATAATATACTATAAATATATATATATATATATATATATATATAATATACACAATATATAATATATGAATATATATACCGGTCAGTTCAGTTTAGTTTTTCAGTTTTTTGGGTTTTGATGAACACCTAGTAATTCAAGCCTTGGCTATTTGGTAACTAGGGTCTATGTAAAGCGCAAAGTATCAAAGAAAAGGGAACTCTGGGAGTATCTTTATTCTTTCGAGGGTAACAACTAGATTTGAATGTGTATTTAAAAGTTCATGGTACTTGGTTGTTAAGGCCCTTAAATATCACAACCCCCAATGTATAGGATACCTGTTTATAATTTTAGGGTTTGAGGCCCTTAAGTAAAGGCAAGTTTTTAGGCTCCATTGTAATGGTCTAGATATCCTTGGTTAGAAGATGACATGATTGATGATACTTTTTTAACAATATTATTGTGAAGGCTGAAATCGTCATATAGACCAAGGTGAAAATATTACAATAGATGTCAAAAGTACTCTAGCAATGGTAAAATCTCAGGCGTGGGCCATTAGTTGGAGGTGTTCAATACAATGGTGTTGCATTTTGGGTTGATCAATACAAATTTGTGAGTTTTTTTATTACTTGAAATGCTAAAAAATGTTTTGAATTGATCAATACAAATTGCTATTTCTACTTGAAATATCAAATTTGTTGCGATGCATTTTCAAGTTGATATGACTTTCATATGATGCAATGCAGTAACACATGTTGCTCACAAATTTGTATTGATCAACCCAAAACACAATGGCAATGCAACACCACTATACCTATACCAAAAACCATCTTGGTGTAAGGGTAAAATGTTGAGACCACAGTTTTAAATCAGAAAGCGCCTACCTTGTGTAAATATGCCAAAGGTTTAAGGTTAGGGCCCATCAATCCCTCCCAAGACCCTAGATTGCTGGGACTAACATAGTTGGGGAATAGCCTTTTAAGAAATTTTTAACTAGGCATATGGGTAATATTCCATCCATTTCTTTTCTTTGATGAAATGTTCCAGGAATAACTCATGTGATAACTGGGTGAAACAACAGGGGTCATAAGAAAAGTAATGGCAGATGTGATCTCAGCTTGGGTTTTGAAGCCTTGTTCACTTTATGTAGGACTCTAAATTGTAGAGACCCCAATACAATGGGTTGAGTGACAAATACTCCCTATATTTTCATTTGCAACAAAGACCATTTTGAACTTTTGCGTTGTAACAAAGACCCTTTGACCGATGAGTCGGTTGATGGAAGGTGCTAAATTACCAAAATGCCCTCTTTGTAATTCAAGGGGCATGAAATAAAATTTTCAAAATGATGAAAATGGGTAAAGCCATTCCCCCTTATGTCTATTCATCACCTTTTTTTTTTCTCCTAAACCCTAACCTACATGAATATATCATCAAATAACCATTTGATGAGAACTCTACATCACTCTTCATTGGATGTTCTTGCCACTATCTCATTGATGAAGAAGAACCTATGTACACGTATGCCACGCCAGCTATTTTAATCATATGAGAACCAATGTTTTTAGGAATTGCTGGGTTATCAAAATGTAAGTGAAAGGGTAAAATCATCTGAACAAATAAAAAAAGACAATCTTTGGGATTTAAAAAGCTTTAAACAACCAATTGAGAACCATTTTTTGAAGATAAATGATGGAATGCTAACCAAGAGGGTCTTTGTTGCAAAGTAAAAGTTTAGAAGGGTCTTTGTCATAAATGAAATTACAAGGCGGGTATTTGTCAATGACCCTATAATGGGGTCTTTGTTAATTTACCCAGTTATTTTCTAAAAAAATAACTGCCACATCACCTAAATCATATGGTTGTTTTTCAAAAGTAAAAGCGTACATATTGGTGAAAGACTCTTTGATGTGAATAATCTACCAAACAACCACTTTTAGAGTACTTTTGACATCTATTACAACAATGAAGTGGAGACCGGATCTGCTCCTCACACAGGGTGTCTCACACCGACCTCACAGGCACATCCCACCATGCATTAGGAACATCTCCTGTACTTATATGTTATTATTCATGGGAGATGTTCCCAATGCATGGTGAGATGTGCTTGTGAGGTCGATGTGAGGCATCCGGTGTGAGGAGGAGATCCCAATTCTGAAGTGACATGATCAAGGAAACAAGGTATTCGTGAAGTGAACAGTGCTTTAATCAAACACACCACTCTTTAGAGATTCTTTTGGGGTAAACCACAAAGACCCCCTACACTATGGGGTCAATGAAAATTACCCACTGAACTTTTATTTATGACAAAGAACCCCTAACTTTCACTTTGCGACAAATACCCCCTCTGTTAAAGTTGTGTCAATTAACCTTGGAAAAGTTCTCATTCAACTACTTAAAACTTTTTAAATTTCCAAATTACCCATTTCTTATTTGTTTGAATGATTTATGATTTGATTAATTTTCTAAATATAATATTGAAGTCCTTTTTGATAGATATAAATTTGATGTCTTGTTTGGTTTTTCTTAGTTTATTAGGGAAAGGAGTGGATACTTTTTATATAAAGAGAAACACTCATGTTAGTGAAATGGAACAAGAATTTAAAGAAATTTGTTGTTCTATGTCAAAAAATGACAAGGAAAAGAAAATAAGGAAAGTTGAGGTGTTTAAATGGAGGTATTTGTCGCAAGGTGAAAGTTCAAGTGGTCTTTGTTGCAAATGAAAGTTCAGGGGGACAATTGTCACTGGCCCTATAGTAGAGGGAGGTCTCTGTCACAAATGACGTCATGGGGTAATTGTAACTGACCACATAGTATAGGGGGTCTTTCTAATATACCTTTCTTTTCTTTTCTTTTCTTCTTTTTTTTTTTTTTTTGGAAAAGACTTCTAATTTTTGCTTAGATTAATATTTAACAAGGTTTAAAAGGCTTAAAGGCATAGTTGAGGCATAATGGTCCAAAATGGTGAAGCATAAGCCTCAAAACTTTAGAATAAAATTAATTAAAGTTTATAAATTGATAAAAATAACATATAATATACCAAGTTAGAATAATAGAAGGTATAAATATCCATAAAATAAAAGTTATAAGCAATAAGCTTTAGTGTTTAAGCATTAAATAAAATAATAACTAATTAACTAACAATCATAAACATTTTACATTTCATGTTTAAAATGCAAAGTTTTTAAATAATTCAAATGACCAATTTAGAAGAAAGAAACATATGAAGAATTATTCATATAATTGGATATAGATTTATGGTCATTGTTTAGAAGAAAGAAAACAACTTTTGATCTATGCAAAAAAAAACCAATAAAAAGAAAAAGAAAATAAATCTATTAGGAAAATAAACGAGAAAAATAACAAACTTGAGGTGTTAGATTTAGAATAATAAAAAAAAAAACTCATTTGACATATCCAAGAGAAACTAAGAACATGGTTGGCCCTTATTGCATTGAACTCTCGTAAAACACTAAGAGAAACTAATAGAACTTGATTTCACCTATTGGTTTTTCATTTTTACTCTTTTTATTTATTTGATCCATTATTATTATTGAAGTGTTTCTTTGATTATTTTGAATTATAAAAATGTATAAAAGTATATATTTTTGCATTAAATAACTAAATAATCATTGATACTTGAGGCTTATGCCTTATTTTGACAAAGGCTTAAGCAAGGTTTAAAATATTGATACATATGCCCTGTATCAATGTATCGTATCGATATCACAAGGAACAAATATAGCATATGCTACAACTGGCACGATATATGTTTAGTCACACAGTACACATGAATATTGGTGACTTGGAACTCCGTCTCATCACCTAATCCACCTTTTGTCTAACTTATTGAACCACTAGGCCGCCTCTTAGCTCATGCTAATAAATGAAATAAAATACATTTTTATTAACTTTATTCTTAGCATGCAATCTAGCCAAATACCATATGTTTATGTTCAATAGTTTTAAGTTAAAATTAAAAAGAACAATATTAAACATGAGTATTTTATAAATATTAATGAAATAAATAATATATCAAAATTACATTTACATAAAAAATGATTTTTAACCTCAAAAAATTTATACAAGTAAAAATATTAATAAAAGAATAATTAGTTTAGTACTTAAACTTCATAAATTAGTATATGATATGTTTCTTAAAATTTTAATATATTTTTATAAATTATTTATTGATATTTTAATTTACACTAAAATACAACATATTTATTATTTTACAAAAATACTTTTTTTACAAAATATTCAAGAACATAATACTAAATTGAATATATCAAATCCACCAATTTAAACTTATATCAATAATGATTTCTTATTTTAGAAAATTTATAGAAATAAAAATGTTAATAGTTGTTCCATTATTTTATTAATTAAAAATTAAAAATTTGCATACGACATGTATCTTAGAAATTTTAGTAGATTTGATACATTTAAGTTAAGATTATATATTTTTATAAATTATCGATTGATATTTTAATTTACAATTTATAATGACATATTTATTGTTTACAATAATAAATATATTGGTTATCAAACATTTCAAAATTTAATATTTAGTTTACTTTTTTGGTTAATGTTGAAATGTAAAAATAGTAAAATAGTAATTAAAAATAATAATTGTATATGTTTTTATCTTGGAATCTTGATTGATGGATTATCAACAAAATTGTATACTATCTATGCATCCCTTTATATTAGTTATAATATATTTCTTCATACATATCATTGGAATATATATATTTATGTATTTGTCTTATTTGTGGCTATTTTGACCTTAAATTTAGAGGAATTGATGTATTTATGAAATCTGCATATATTTTACCAGTGTATCCATGTGTTTCTCTATATTTCCTCCTTATCCATGCATTTCCAAAGCATATCCGTATCCATATTTATATCCAAACTGTCTAATAATTAGCAGGTTGCAATCATCTTGGATGAGATTTTGACCCTTGGTCAGATGTATGATGGGGTGGCCTGGATGGCGTTTCTTGTTTTGATGTTTGTAGAGCAGAGGTGGATGCGTCCAAATGGTGTTTCTTATTTTGATGTTTGGGATGCAAATCTGTTAGACTCTTAATCTTTAAATGATATTCGTCCGGATTACCACAAAAAAAGAAACAGAGTATCCGTGCAGACCTTCTGGCGGGCTGCCAGACATGGCATAGAGGATCCAAAGTCTTGATTTTTACTTGTTCATTGTAAAATTGATTAAATTGGAAGTAAATAGACGCAGTAGCTGTGATTAATTAAAGAGGGAAAAAAATTCTTCCGGACCAGAAGGCATGACTTACCTGCGATTGCTGCAGCCACAACGTCTTGATTTGAGTCTCTAGTATGGAGAACCAACCTGGTTTTGTAGTCGCTGTGAGAGTCATAGAAATCAGTGACCGCCATGGATATAGAGCTATTGCTTATCTTCCCAACCAAGGTCTCCATATCAAGCACAACTCCTACATGAAATTGCACCAGGGTGTCTCCGTCTCCTCTGCTACCTTGAGCCTCAGCCAACTGGGGACAGAATCGCCCCATCAGAGAGTAAACGAATAAGAAAAGGGGGAGAGCTTCGGCTACACTTGTCATGTGTATAATCAGCTATGGCCGAAGATACAGAGATACAGAACGACAGTTCCTTTGTTCCCTTCTCCTCTCTTCATATGTATGTATATATATATATATATAGCGTAGGCTCGAAAGAAACGTCCAATTGTGATCAATGTTCATAAGGTCTAGTCATCATAAGCCAACAAGGGTCCCATTTATTCCTCATAATCAACCTTGATTACGGGGCAAAATTCAATCCAAAACTCAATCTTTCTTTTTTATAAACGAGAAGATAGAAACTTTAAACAGCAAATACTTGGAAAAAGCTGGGAAGTAGTGGTGGGACTTCAAAGCTGACGGTGATAAGCGAAGCAGCTCTGTATTTGTTTGGCAACATCGTCGTTGACGAAGGGGTTATGTGAAAGAGAAGAAATCTTATAATAATAGGATTTTCTCATGTCTCACTCACAACACTTTCCAATGTTTTTTCTGGTTTTTCTTTGTCTTTCGCAGGTCGCAGGTCTTAGTCAGCATGGAAAATGTATTTCTGATTTTAGGGTATTCGTGCAAATTACTCAATCCATTTCTAAACCCGTCTAAGTACCCTTGTTTCAAATTCATTTAACTTTTTCTCTCAATTTTTTAAATCCATCCCGTCCTAAACCGGTTAAACTTGTCCTGGCCCATCTCACCCGATTATTCTATGATTGAGTTAAACTTTTCTTCAAGTTTATACAAAAAAGGTTCTTCAAGTCCATTTTCAACCAACAACATTCAACAAGAACCAACATTATACATAATGCTTTCATATAGAAAAACAAAAAGAATAAAAATAGTACAAGTCAAAAAATAAATAAAACTAAGTGACATAAAAGAATTGTTATTTCAAGAACTCTTGCTGCCTTTTAATCCTACACTAGAACATCATCCACAATTGAAGAGAATTGTTATATCAAATTGAGTTTAAAAATGAATTTTGACAAAAAGATACCATTTGCAATCTTAATTACAGAAATAAAATTTTAAAAATGACTGGCTATAAATATTCAAGAATCATTAACAAGTATGAGTATGCCACCCAAAAATAATGCTTGGATTAGACTTGAATTTATTGAAACCAGTTGGTTCTCAATCTAAATTCAGACAAATAGATAGCATTTGCAATCCCAAATACTAATAAAATTATTTTAAAGTCCATTTGAGTTTAAAAATAATTACATCAATAAATTTTTAAAGTTAATTGACAAAATTTAAATTTCATAGACAAATATTTCATCTAGAAATGTTGTTTGGATTAGATTTAAACTTGCAAAAACCAATTGATTCTTAATTTGGATTTAGACAAATAGATACCATTTGTATTTTGCAATCTTACATCTTAATTATTTTAATTTAAAATCCATTTAATTTAATAATAATTATGCCAATAAAATTTTAAAATTAACTAATAAAAATTTAAATTTCATAAACAAGCAACTCACATAAAAGTATTGCTTGGATTCAACTTGAACCTCTAACCAAATGCCCCAAGCTTTCAAATTAACCAATTAGGAATGTCATTGGCCATAGGGCTCCTTCCTCCTAGCTTCTACTTAATTAATTTCTCTTAATATATTATATATTATAAATTATTTTATACTATATACTATATTACATTATATTATATTATATCATACAACATATTTTATTTCTTATAATTATATATATAATTGGGCATTGGGAACAGGTACCCACATTAAGTAAAATGGGGTGTTAGGTATCAGATATCCTAAAGTCAAAATCCAAACCAGTCCCAAACCCTATAGTGTTTTATTAAGTCAGTCCTATTAGGGTCAGGATGGATTGGATACCCAAAAATTCCCACGAAATTGCCATTCCTACTACGTACCCACATAACATTGTAGCCACACATGAGAACATCTCATGAGATGTTTCCAATGCATAGAGGTAGTGTTTTATGGATAGGCCTGGATAGAGCTCTTGTGGGCAGGAGATCCGGAGTCCAATGAGTCACCCTCCACTTTAAAAAATCCAGCACCCAAGTCCAGCCATTGGCATTTTAAAATTTTCAAAACTACCTTTTACATATTTTATGAGACTGTTTTGCCCTTTCTCTTATTGAATCTCTAAAACCTTAAGGTGTTTGGTCTGAAGGAAAAGGTAGAAAAACCTACAAAAACAGAGTTTTCCCATCTTTTCCTTCAAATCAAACACAGCCTTATTTCTTAACCCTTTCATTTTCTTCCTCATAGTTGAACAAAATCACAAATAGTGTTAAAGCAACACGACGATCTTCACATTAATCATGACCATTTCTATGACTTTACAATTTTTTTCTCTCAGCTACTCAAACCATGAATGGACATTTTGATAAATTTATGGTTAATGGTTTGACTTGGGTAGTGATTTTTGAAATTATAAGGTGCCTCATTGTTACAAGTATGGTTTTCAAAACCAGACCGGATTGGACAATTGGACCAGAAAATCGGGAACTGGTCAGGTGATCAGTTCCATTTTTCCCCAAAATCGGATTTTCCCAAAAATCGTTGATTTTGGTCAACAAACGGCTGACCCGGTGGTTAATCGTTCAAACCGTTCGAACGGTTTGATCAAAATCGTTGATTTTGGTCAACAAACGGCCAACCCAGGAATTGGACCCCTGACCGATTCGTTCTCCGAGTCGGTTTTAAAAACCTTGGTTACAAGTGAAACTTGAGGCCTATAAGTGTCATCACATACCCCTGGTGTTTYAAAATTGTCGTTGATGATCCAAATGGTCGAACTGTTTGGCCCAGAAACTGTTCAAGTGACCAGTTTCATTTCACCCTTAACCCGGCACTTGGTGAAAAACTATTGACTTTTTCAGTGATCTACTGACTTGGGCGGTTGAACCATTGGCCCTTTCGACCCAGACAACAGTTTTGGCTGTTTTTAAATTTTTTAAATTGAAATGAGCCGTCCACTCCAACTGGAGATTGATCACTGACAAAGAAATTGGTGGCCAAAAAGATTCTGATTCCAAATCGGTTTTTATAACATTACATACCCCCAAATCCGGTCATTCTTTCCTTGCACAATATGAGTGTTCTTAGCTAGTCTCACAATTAAGAGAATCCAGATCTCACACTAGCACTGTACATTGGGAACATCTCCCCATGAATGATAATATGTAAGTATGAAAGATGTTACTATTGTACAGCTGTACTGTCCCGTGGGTAGGAGATCTGAGCTCCAAGAGATCTATCAATAAATAAATAAAAAACAAAGATCTACTGCCTTTCCTTATCAAGCGCCATTACCTTGTAACTTACTTGATGATGATAATAGCAATTGATCATTTGACTCTTCTCTCTGAAAAAGCAGATTGGCCTCCATTAAAACCAATTATTGCTGACCACCTTACCTAGAAAATGCTAAGAATACTTCACGAAGGTCAAGGAATGTGTCGTATTAGATTATTCAAGCTACGTTACATAAGTTGCAAGGAAGGTGTTACATATCTTGGTTTGTTGGATTATATATATGGAATTCTTCAAGCTCGTTTCCTCGAAAATATTTGGTGATAGTAACTACCTAAGGATAAAAATCTTCTTCATTCTTTATTGCTCTCTGATTCATAACTCACTTCACAGGGAGTTCCAATGAAGTTACTTTGAGAGCTAAGTTTCGTCCATCTTAAGAAGTTGCAGCCAAATTTTGTTAAGAAATTTCTCTGAATTTTCAGTCTCTCTTATTTTCTATCAAACCAGACGTAGCCCATTGTTCTAGATCTTTTATATTTAGTGGTAAGTGTTCATGTATGGTAATATTAGATAATGATAATGGTAGTAATAATATATTCAAAATTTTTTATAAACTTTATATATTTTTTATTTTTTGTTTTTTATTATTAATTGGATGTAAATTGTAAAATTCAAATCTGATTACTTAAACACCACATCCATATATGTGATAATTAGATTGCGTTGTGAAGTTTCAATTATCATTGACATTGACAGGCCTATCTACTTTGCTAGACTCTTCTTTTTCTAGTATTTTACATTTCTAGCGTTTCTTTTTTCTTTTATTCATTTATAAAAAAAAAATGTAAGTTTTAAATAGAGGAAATTGAATGAGGTGAAAACTAGTAATTCAATTTACAATATAAACCATACAATTAAATAGGGATTAAATTCAAAAAATGAATATTTTAGTCAAAAGAAAACTTTATAATCTTATTCATATTTTTAATAGTAGTGTAAATATAGAATTATAGATGTGTTCAATTTTTTTCTATATCTTTTTATATTTTTTGTATAAAAATAGTTYTGATATATGACATTTACCTTTTGTTTAACATGATAAGTAAATTTGTGCATCCTTTTATTTTTGTATTTTATATTTTATTAATTTTTACTATTTATTTATGACATTAAATGTTAGCACATTTAACCCAAAAGTTGAACTATTTATTATTAATTTTTATATTTCATTTTTGGTCAATTCTAAATTATGTATTTTATTTTAATTATCAATAAAAATAATTCTTGTTTATTATAATTATTTTTTTAATTTGATTGATAAAAATATCATAAATGTGTCTAGTATTTTCTACTTTTTTTTTTGTATTTTTTATATTTGTTTTTATTTTAAAAATTTTATTACCTAACTATGACTTCATAGGTTGATAAATTTGATTCAGATCGTTCAATTGCTTAGCCACCACTTGGATAAAAATGGTTTTGTTTTTTAGTCAGATTTAAAACATATGGGTTTATATTGTTAAAAATATTGACATAGATCTAATTAATAAAATTTATTAATGAAAAATAACTTAAATATAGGATTTAATAAGAGAAAATGARATTTAATATCTTAAGTATAAGACTAAATGAGAGAGTATTGAATGAGGTGGAAAGTAATAATTGAAGTTACATTTTCAACCCTTATATTATAGATGGACTAAATACATAATTTTTAAACTTATATTATAGTTGGAAAGTAATAATATCATGCTCCATAATCCTATAGTTTTTACACTATAAAATGCGTTTTTTGTTTCAAAAACCATTATTTTTAAGGTTCCAAAAACATCTTTAGAAAAACCAACCTGATTTTGCGGTTTTGCTGTTGTGACGATTTCAAAACAAATGAAAAACAAAACATTCTTGTGTAGAACACCCTATCACAAAGTTTTCTCTTATCTCTAAAACGTTTTTTGAAATTTGAATACAGACTAAAGCATCTACAAGTATTCTGTTGCTCAACAACTCATTTCTAGAATAATTAATTTCATCCGGGGAAAGATGTTTTCTAGTTTTTATAGACCCACACCCCCAAGGGAGACAAGTGATTTCACCGTTTTGGTTTTTAAGTGAAATACAAAACGGTTGAACCGTTTAATTGGACCATGATGAACTATCAGCTAATTGCAAGAAATTTTATCCTCAACTAGAGTGAAGCTTCTGCGTGTTTGATCCGCAACTAAAGTATGAATGCTAGACTTGGAATATCAAACCCTTGCATCGACTATTCAAATTAAAGTATTGAAAACGCTAAAAAGGGGGGATTTGTTTGATGATGTTAATGCTTACAGATCCAAAGATCAATAGAAGCCAGAAGCCAAATGCTAATGTTTACAAATCAATAGAGAAAAAAAATTAATCTAATAATAATAATAATAGTAAGAGAAGCCAAATGCTTTACGCTAGCTCTTTTTCTTCTGAATTTAATGGAAGATACCATGCAACCTTATTTGTTGCACTGATATTCTTCACCATCTTCTAGTTCTATATAATATCCACTCATGTATTTCTTCTTTTTCCCTTCTCCTTCAGGTATCATTTCCTTTTTTGTTCTAAAATATGGGAAACCAGTTACCCCTTTTTCTTTTGGTGTTATCCCCTTGCTTTCTGAGCTCCCAATTCATGGTGGTCGCTAGCTCTCAAAGAAGCAATGTTAACAGTACTACAATTTTGTTTCCTGTTGGTGTCATTCTCGATTTAGAAACGCCCATGGGAAAGATGGCTTACAGCTGCATCTCAATGGCGATTTCAGACTTTTATACAGTTCACAGTCACTATAAAACGAGGCTGGTTCTCCACCCAAAAGATTCGAAGAAGGATGTTGTAACCGCTGCCTTTGAAGGTATACTTGAATCAATTTTTTTTTTCTTATTTGCTCTTTTTTATTTTTGAACAGAGAATTTGATGACCCAAGATGCGTCATCTTTCAAATTTCTTCCAAGACTAAGAAATATAAGACTGTAAGTCGATTAGACATGCCAACGAGCTGGGCTTGAAGCCTGTCGATCGATTTAGGCCAACCGATAATCATAATAACCACTGTAAGTTCAATTTAACTTATGATCAGCATCTTTTGCTTTCCCCTTTTCCGTTTTTCATAAATTTTTCGTGACATGGGAACAGGTACGCTAGTCCGGTGATCAAACCCAATTTCAACTTCTACCACTAAGGTCTCAAAATAAGCTTTTCAGTTTCAGCCACATTAGCTGTTTTCAAAGGGCCCCTAAATTTAAAAGACCTAGGGATCTTCTGTTTTCAGCAATCTAGGGTCTGGTTTTTATGTCGTTGTTATTATCATTATCATTACCATCATCATCTATTCAAGGGCCAGAAAATTTCAGAGAAAAGTAATTGTAATGTGTTCAATATTCTAAGCCCCTTTTTTGGAGCATTTTGAATGGAATATTGGCAAAAGCTCCAACAAAAGTGGTGGGATATGGCATATATATGTGGAATAGGAACTAGGAAGGGGAGTATGTCAAAGAATAAAAATCTTTGCAGGTACCTCACCTAATTAGTTAAACTTTTAGGTTGAATGGTTCCTTAATATATATATATATATATATATATTCAATCTAAATGACTTTGTGACTAGAACTCACCCAATAATATAACAAATGGGGCAGATGCACTGACATAATGAAAAGGAAAAAACATTAATAATATATAAAAGAAAGATTAGAGAAGACTTTTGGACCCATGATCCCATTTGATACACGTCATCATCATCCTCAATTTCCCTTTTTTTTCCTCCTAAATGGATATGGGATGCAAAGATTCCTTGATATTCAAGACATTAAAGCATTGAACTATATATAGGTTGGATTTTTTTTTTTAAGAAGAAGAAGAAGAAGAGGTTGGAATAGCCTTTTTTAAGAGTGAGGTTTTGGGCACACCTTACTTTAGCAGGATGGATGAAAACAGCCATATTCATAGTAATTTCAATTATTTCTAGCATCTAATAAGAGAAAAAGAAAAAAAATATATTTTGAAGCTTGATATTCTTCTTCTTCTTGTGACTTTTTTTTTTKTGTGTGTGTGTGATGAAAACTTCTTATGACTCCGTATTCTTGAAGTTTATGCATTTAGAAGGACCAAAAAAATAAGGAAAAACAAAAAGGGAAATAATTGAAATAAACTGCATTAATTAATAATGCTTGGTAAAATAATTATAAAAATTAAAAAAAAATAAAGGACTATATATACAAACTATATGAAGATGATTTGGAATGGATGTATATATAATTAATTAATTTTGTTTTCTTTGGGTGTAGCATTGAATTTGTTGAAAGATGCTCAAGTACAAGCAATCCTTGGACCCCAAGAGTCAATTCAGGCGGAGTTTATTGCAGATCTCGGAGCAAAAGCTCATGTGCCCATTATTTCTTTCTCTGCAACGAATCCTTCCCTCTACTCCCGCAGCCCCTACTTCATTGGAATGATTCCAAATGACTCTTACCAGGTAAAAGCAATTGCTGCCATCGTTCAAGCTTTTGGATGGAATGAAGTTGTTACCATCCATGAAGACACAGACTATGGGAATGGGATCCTTCCCTATCTCATTGATTCCTTCCTGGACATCGACGCTCAGATCACCCACAGAAGCAGTATTCCTGTTTCGGCCACCAAGGACGAAATCAACACAGAACTCTATAAACTGATGGAGATGCAAAAAAGCGTCTTTGTAGTCCATATGTCAATTTCGCTCGGTCCCCATTTCTTTCAACTGGTGAAAGATGCAGGAATGATGAGTGAAGGTTATGTCTGGATTATTACAGATGGGTTGTCAAATCTGCTGGATTCATTGAACCAATCCGTGATCGACTCAATGCAAGGAGTCTTGGGGATAAAGCTCTACGTCCCACCATCAGAGGAGCTTGACAACCTGAGATCTCAATGGAGAAAGAAATTCCGCCGAGATAATCCTATTACTGAGGACGTCGAGCTAAGCGTGTATGGGCTGTTAGCGTATGATGCTGTCTGGATGCTAGCAACTGCAGTAGAAAGTGTTGGTTCAATGCATCATCGCATGAACAAAGCCAAGGATTTGAGAAGAAACAGCTCTTGTTTCTCAGATCATTTCATCAGAACCTCCAAATTTGGCTCAAGAGTTCGCAAAGCAATCTTGGGGACCAGTTTTAAGGGTCTCAGTGGAGACATACGTCTTCTGCATGGACAACCACAGCAGTTTGTCTTCCAAATACTCAATGTGATTGGTAAAGGGGAGAGAGATATTGGGTTTTGGATACCGATGTATGGCATTTCAAGGGAGCTGAACAGCAGCAGCAGAGAAGGGAATAAGAGGGACTACTCTACGTCTAAGGATGATCTTGGGACAGTCATTTGGCCTGGCGATTCTAGGACGATTCCTAAGGGTTGGGTGGTGCCAAAGAGGGGAGGTAAGTTGAGGATTGGAGTTCCGGTGAAGGTTGGTTTTAATGAGTTTGTGAAGGTGGAGAGGGACCCTAAGACCAAGGAGACAAAGGTCTCTGGGTATTGCATTGAGGTGTTCAATTCAGTAATGGAGGCATTACCTTACAATGTTCCTTACGAGTTTGTTCCATTTGAGAATGAAAATGGTGAGAGTGCTGGAAGTTACGATGACCTAGTAAACCAAGTCTCTGATCAGGTTATACACAGTCAATACCCATATATAATTTACTTTTCTTTTTCAATCTTTCTTTCTATTATATATCTGATGACTATTTTTTTTTTTTCATTTCTAGCTATTTTTGGTTACACGTAAAAGCAATAATGGTTTCCATGCAAAATGCTATTTATTTATTTAATAGTGTTTGCTTGCATGCAAAATGGACATGAAAGCCAGACATTTTCCAAAATCTTGTGGTATCTTGTGATATACACAACCAATAACATGTTTCTGTATTTTGTTGCCAAACAATATTAACTTAGGCCCTGTTTGGTTTGTGGGAATAGGGGTCTGGAATCGGAGTTGGAATGGGTTATTTTGGTTCCAATTGTTTGGTTGGATGGAATGGGAATTCTATTCTCATTCCTGTTGGAAATGGCATTCTCTCATTTGAGAGAAAGGTCATTCCTTACCCTTCCCTTGGAAATAAAATCACATTCCTTCTCATTCCTGTTTAAACTAAATAGACTATATGAATGGACCATTTCAGAGGATTTCGATTCCGATTCCGATTTCGATTATAAACCAAACAGACCCTTACGAAAAATGATTTATAATTATATTATGATTGAAAGAAAAAATCTCAGAAAATCAAATGCAGTCTCTATATACATGTATTTGCACATAGCTAGGTTTTCTACATAAACCTTATTAGTGTTTTCTTTCATGACATTGAGAAAATAGAAGTATGACGCGGCTTTGGGGGACATACCTGCTACAGCAAATTGGTCATCAAATGTTGACATTTCTCAACCTTTTACTAATGGAGGTGTTTCTACCATAGTTCCAATCGTATACGAGAAGAATAATATACTGACMCTTTTCAAGCCTATGACGTGGGGTCTCTGGTTCACATGGTCTAGTTCATTCGTCTTCACTGGACTTTTAATTTTTGCTTTGGGTGGAGGAGGGGACCAACATTTTAGTGGGAACTTCGCTCAACAAAATATTGTTGCTACTTTGTCCGGGCTTCTCTTCCAAGAAGGTGATTTCTCTACTTCCTAATTTTCATATGAGACAGTCTACAATATTAGTATTAAACTACTATTACTTATAATTTAGGCCGTGTTGGCTCTGATAGAAAATTAATAAGAGAAATAAAAAGATGAGGGAATGAAAGTTGTTAACAAATTTTGGGAAATTGCTTAAGCACTTTCTCTTTAAGATTCTCTATTTCTCTCTTATTTTCTTTCTCTAGGGTCATTGACATAGACACCTCATACATAGTTTGCAGCCGCTTTACCTATCATTCATTTTATTAGATAAGAGTAGAAAATGATGTTTCTGACCCTAATGTCAGAAAATTAAATTAAAAGGAAAAACAAAATTTATTTATTTTGTCCACAGGTTTAATTTGTTTCTAAGGTTCGTCATATGAGAGCTCTTATAGGTATTTTTACTCATGTTAAGAGTTTACCTGACCATTCCCACAAACAAAATATATACAAACAGTTCTTCCTAATAGAAGGTCAATTAAGTAAAACATGTAACAAATAATATGGGGTGTTTTAATAATATGGAAAATATAGGATAGGTTTTAGTAAATATGTGAAATTATAGTGCATGGATGGTTAAGTAAATGACCCTATAATTTATAACCATGCAAAACTAGTGCTGTAAGTGATTAATGTTACACCACCCTCAACATTACATCAGTTGCATAAATTGAGACTTTTATGTTTTTTAGATTCAAAATTTAAAATCCTCTTTAATTAGTTCTTTGCTCAACTAATTTGAGTTGAAAGCCAGAGAGAGAGAGAAGCATCATTAATTAATTGGTAGATAATAGTTAATCAATAACCAAATTAAGTCTTCTTTGATGATTACAGGAGAAGGGAATTTAAGGTTATCTTCGATGCTCATTCTATTGGCATGGTTTTTTGAGCTATGTTTAATAGGCCAGACATACATATCGACTTTATCATCAATGCTATCAGCACAACAACAATATCAACCAGTAAGTGTTAGTGTAAATGATCTCATAGCGAATGGGGACTTTGTGGGTTACCGAAATGGCTCCTCTGTGGAAGGATTGTTGAAGCAGTTGGGCTTTGGGAAAGCTAAGCTTAAGGTCTACAACTCTCCAGAGGAGTACAATGATGCCTTGATGAGAGGAAGTAAGAATGGGGGCGTTGSTGTCATCTTTGATCAAATTCCCTATATTAAGCTCTTCCTCAACAAGTATTGTGGGAAGTACAGAATGGGCGCTGAAATATACGGGATGGATTCATTTGTTTATGTAAGCATCCCACCTTTGCCACCATATATAATATATAATTAGATTCTTAAGGCTGTGTTGGTTTGACAGAAAATAGGGGAAGAATAGAAAGTTGAGGGGGAGTTCTTACTTCTTAAGGAGTTTTGTAGAAATTGTTAAGAACTTTCCCTAAAATTTATGGTCCTCTACTCTTAATTTCTAGGGAGAATGGCTGTTCAGCACACCTTAAGAATTCTTGGTACAGTTGAGGTAGGTGTTAGCTCGGAATTAATACCAATACACGGGCGGTTTTTGGTGTTTTAGGGCGAGGGTGCTTGTCATTTTGAATTATATATAGGATTGCAGTGGAATTCAGAATTCTGCAATGTGGTACAGTGTACTTTTCCATAATTTTTCTATCCTAATAAGTGTACCCATCCAACCAACAAAGAAAAAAATGCTACATCCATGGGCGTAGCCTTGGGCTAAAATCATGAATGATATAGTATTCTATGTACATCGAAAGGCAAGATTTTACGGTTTTTACCCCCAAGGCTAAAACCATGGGTGTAGAAGATTCCACCCCCATGGGTCCAACCATGAATGTGTCTGTGTAAGTATGACTGTGTGGGAGACTTGCAGTTGCTTCTTATATATTGCTTTTGAATGATACAGGTATTCCCAAGAGGGTCACCTCTGGTAGCTGATGTTTCAAGGGAAATTCTATCCATGAAAGGAGAAAAAATGGCAGCAATCGAGAAGGCATGGCTTGGGAGCCCTTGTCCAGATACAACAACTACTACTTCTTCAAACCCCCTCACACTTGAGGTTTTCTGGGTGCTCTTTCTTGTCACTGGCTTCATCAGACTTTGTGCTTTTATATTCTCTGTACTTCAAAGGATGTGCTTCAATACTCCAGTTGTAAATAACATCGGTATGGGACCCCACGAACAAGGTCTGGAAGAAACAAATATTGAAACGTCTTCATCAATCAATGAGTGTGAAAGCAGTCCAAACCTTTCAACTCCTTCAAAGATAATAGATAACAATGCTCTAGGAATGGAAAATTGTAGTCCAACTAAGCTTGATGAACAAAATGCCATTGGACGATGCGACTGATGATAAAATGGAATTTTTTTAGAAGGCCATGATGAAATGGAATGATTTTTAATATAACGTATAGCCTAACATCAAAGATTTAGGATGTGTTTGGTATCTTTGCCACTTCTACTTTGTAAATATTTTGTGTTGGTTAATACAAATTTTTGAAAAACTATCTTGTCACATTACATTATATAACCACTTCCACTAAATAATATAGGCATTGGATTAGGTATTGCATTTACAGTGGAAACAACAAATTTGACATTTTCTAAACTAATGTTGTATTGATAACTTAAAGCATTTGTGGTAGAAAAAAATGTATTATCATAAAATTTATATTGACCAACCTAAAATGTTGCAAGTAGAAGTGGCAATAATATCAAATACAACCTTAATCTAATATATATATACACAAAATTTAGGAAAAGGTACCAAAATTAAAGAATGATTTTAACTCTGACTCCGGATTAACTGCACTTATGGCTGTGTTAGAAACTATCTAACCGATAATAATGCCCCTCATCAGCCACAAAATGTATATATGCCCCACAATCACTTAGTCCCTCAGTTCATGTGGATGGTTCATGTGAACTCAGATTTCTTGCAAGCAAAAACTCTGGGGACATGTTAGCCAGCCACACATTGGGAATATCTCCCATGCATGAATGTTAAATTCATAGGGAGATGTTCCTAATGTGTGACTAGACACTGTGAGTTTTATTATTGGCTACACAGCCCCTTACATAACCATCAAATTCATCTAATCCAAGTTCTTGAGAATCGTATATGAGCTATGTGCAAAAATTTAAACAAGAGTGCCTAATTGATTAGTTTAGTATTATTTTTTTGTGCAAACAACTTACAAAATGTGATTTCCCTTAGGGTGATTTGGTGATCTAGCTGATGTGGCAAGATGACAATGTGGAACCAGCAAAAATAGAAAAATAATAGCCAATTGATGGTGGCTCAATTGGTTGATTGTAGTGGAGGCTTAATTCGGATCTAATCACACTATATATTTGCTGTCACCAAGGTTGGAGGGAGGTTGGTATGCGCATCGGGGGCGGGCCGACCCCCTCTAGTTATAGGTATGGGTATGAGCAGGCTAGCCCATTAAGAAAACTTCAAGAAATAACATGGTCGAGGTGGTGTACTCCTTTATATCCACCTCCATCTTGATTATCCGTGCCAATGCCTCGTTGTCCTCCTCAAACAAGATCTACGGTTTAGGCATCTTCACCTTGGTCCTTAGGATGGGCAGTTCGAGCTCTAAAGGCCACCTATCTTTTAGACTTCACAAAGGAAAACCCCTCCTTCTAATGGTGGACCGAAGAGGGGCCCAAAGAAACACTGCCGAAGCACTCCGAGGCCCTAGTTGAGACACCGACCTCCTTGGCCAATACATTGACCTCATCCTCCACAGTTAGTCCTTCAATCATAGTTGGAATGAATTCTTCCTCCAACCCCTCTCAAATCTCAGACTCCACCTCAACTGCATGCATCCTCCTCGACTTTAGCCTCGTTGGTATCGATCCCAGGGAGCACCTCCTCAGCCTTGTTGATGTTGGTCTCGGGAACCACCACCTTGGTCGCCTCTTGCATGTAGGGGTGTCAATCGACCGGTTTTGGTTTGGATCCAAACCTTATCAAATTGGAAATGGATGGTCCATTATAATTATTGGGTTGGGCCAATCCAAAATAAATTGGTCCATATTCTTATTGGTTTGAATTGGACCTAAACCAAATTTCCAATAATCCGATCATGAGGCCAAACCCTTGTCCATTGAAATCAATCAAAACTAAAGCCAGCATAACATCACTTTTATGAAAGTACTTTTACGAAAACACTTTTACGAAAGTACTTTTATAAAAATAATTTTATGAAAAAGTACTTTTACGAAAACATTTTTACAAAAGTTTTATGAAAGTATTTTTACAGAAGCAGTTTTACAAAAGCACTTTAATCAAAACACTTCTACTAAAGTACTTTTACAAAAACACTTTTATGAAAGCGCTTTTATGAAATCACTTTTACAGAAGTACTTTTATGAATTTTGTGAAAGAACTTTTACAAAAGCACTTCTACAAAAGTAATTTTATGAAAGCACTTTTATAAAAACACTTCTACAAATAAAAGTACTTTTACAAATTTTACAAAAACACTTCTATAAAAGTACTTTTATAAAAGCACTTCTATGGAAGTACTTTTCTAAAAGTGCTTTTACAAAATCACTTTTATGAAGTACTTTTAATAAAGTGCTTTTGTAAAAGCACTTTTATAAAAGTGTTTTTTCAATGCCAAAAGTGCTTTTATATATTTTTTTATATTTCATTCGGTTTGAATTGGATCCAATCCAATCTATTTACATTTTAATGGATTGGATTGGATTTGATTTGTATTGGATTTGGAATAGATTAGGTCCAATCCTTTTGTAAGTGGACTCACATTGAACTAGATCAGATTGGACCAAATCTAGTTCAATTGACACCTCTAATCGACAGTTTTAGCCAACGAGGCAACACATGACCAACTGATCCCAAGAAGACGAGAAACATGTATAAAACGTAAATTTTTCGTCATTAATTTTGACATATCCATATCTTTTCACTATAAAACATATCCATATCTATACTCGCATTGTCCATGTTTTGAACCCTGCCTACCAACACTATTCGTGCGACGACATTGTTAGTGCCTTAAGAGACAAAATTAACTCATGTAAATGTAATGGTGGCATAAAGTAGTATCTAATCTAATACACAACAATTGTATGTAATTATTTCCCAATGGAACAGACAAGATAATCAATCGCTATTAAATCTGGCATCAAGTTTACTCGACCCAACCCAACCAAAAAAAACAGGGTTAGGGTCTCAAATTTAGCTACTTGTATTTAAGAATGATCCGACCTGACTCATCCTGGAAAAAATTGGGTTGGGTTGGGTCGTGGGTCAACCTGCTAACTCAATTATTAGGTATAATTGAGATTATTTATGTATTGTTAGAAATTTCTACTCTTTAATCTTTACTATTTAGGGTTTACCCTTTGTTTTTTACTCTTTGAATTGTTAAATGATCAAGTTTTTTATTTTATTTTTGGAATTTTAAGATTAATTCCTTTAATATTTGCATTTTCTTGTTTTTTTTCTTTATTTTTTTTTAATTTTAGTTATTTTTTGGATGACCTGAATTGACTCATGGGTCAACCCTAACCCGAACATTCAGGGTTAGGGTCTAGCATTTGTCAGCCCAACCTAAAATCAACTCGAAGTATCTTGACTCAACCCAAACCTGACCCACCCAACCCAATTGCCGGGTCTAATCGTTATGGGTAATAATTAGGGGTGAGCAAATGGGTAAATTCTACCTAGAACCAAATGGAACCGACCTCGAACCAGCCTTGAACCGACCCTCCTCAATTTGTTATAGGGTAGGGTCTAGTTCCAAATACTTGGAATTGACTCCCACCCAGGCCGGTTTCAGGGTCTAGAAGTTTACCCTACCCGAATTAACCCAATGAACTGACCTTAATTGGCCTTGGTGGAACTGACCTTGTTGGAACCTGCCTTGGAACTAAACTTGCCTTGAAGTAAACCCCATAATACTTTGGGAGACGTGAAGATTTGAACCCAAGCATTTATGGTTACAGAGGCCATGGTCTAACTTGACCATTAAGTTAATTAAGTGATTTGATCATTTGTTTTCGTTTTAATATTTGAATGTATACAATAAGTAGGGTAAAAGGTAATATTTACAAAATTTAAATCTAAATTTTAAATTTAATCTATAAGTTTTTAACCATATTGTGATAATCCACATATTAAGTTATCCAATTTAATCAATAAAGATAATATAAGTTTTAAACTATGTATTATATTTATTAAAAATCAAGTTTTTAAAAACATGCATTTTTTTTGTGAAGGGAGAGAGTAAAGAAAGTAGGGGTGTTCATAGTCCGATTCGGTGCGGTTTGGAGAAAATCCCATACCAACCTGGTAAATTATGGTTTGATAAATTTTTAAACCGAACCAAACCATTTTGGTATGGAAACCTAACCAAACCAAACCGTTTTATTACGGTTTAGTGCGGTTTCTAATACGGTTTGGGGACTTCAAACCATTCTATGATTCTATTGGGATTAACCCAATTAGAAAAACCAAATAGCTCCCCTAAAAATTAATACTTAAATTTTAATGGATTGTATTTGATCCAATCCACTTACATTTTAATGGATTGGATTGGATTTGGAATAGATTGGGTCCAGTCAATTTGTAAGTGGACTGGATTGGGTTAGACCAAATCCAGTCCAATTGACACCTCTACTTCCTAGGACAACTTCGCTTGCTACTTGAGCTCAAGCCACTATACCCTAAAGATGAAGACAAAGATAAAACTGAGGACATGAGTTCTTACCTAAGACGAGCTCTACATCAGACTAGAAAGCACCGGACGAGGATGAAGACCGGTTGAATTCTGATAGGCACTCTTGTTCAAATGACAAAGGAAAATGACTTTATCCCCTCCTTATATAGAGGTGGCCGACAATCTATCAAAGATCGATCAATGGTCTAGATCAAGTCATGCATTTTGTGCATGTGCATAAGCTCAAGAAGGTGAAATGTAACAACCCATCGCCCTTAAATCAAATATTGAAATTTAAATTTCTCGCATAGGACCATTATCGTTGGTTCGGACCAGACCTGATCACGAGTCAAATGGTTCAACCAAAGCCAGGTGAAGCCACTGAGCACACTAGGAGCACGTCTAATGGCTACCGAGCACCACACTCCTCGACTATAGAATTGGGGGGTTGGAGATAAGGTTGTACCCTAGATCGATTGAACAACCACTTGGATGTTGATGTGGTCAAAGACCTAGCTACGTGAAGCCACTGAGCTCCGCAACTGAGCACACTAGGAGCTCATCCTCCTAATGGCTACCGAGCATCACACTCCTCGACTACAAAACTAGGGGGTGGAGATGAGGTTGTACCTTGGCCCAATTGAACCACAAT